TCTTATTACATCGGTTTCAAGGCAACATCTAATAGTAATGGCAACACTTGCCAGTAAATTGTTTTCATATTTGATAATTTTAGATCGTTAATGATCATCAAATTGTATCGAAAAATATTGAATTTGAAATTTACAATTTTATCATTTCTTTGGAAACCCTTCACCATGAAAAAGGCTCCGTCTTTTATTGACCTCAAGGTTGTTGGCCGTTGTTTTTATTTCAGTTAAACCAACAGGTTCCGAAAGTTTCAGATAAACTTCACCATTGAGGTTTTTTTTGTACACAACTTGCACACCTCTTTGTCTGTAACTTTCAACTTGCAAATCAAGATTGAGATGCAAATCTGTTACCTGTTGTTAATGTTTTTTTTTTGCATTTTTGGTTATTGCTGTTAATGCTGTTTACCATGATCATGATGAGTAACAAGGATTGAAAAGATAAGGAAAGGATGAAAGTTGTTGGCGCAATATTAAAGTTGAAAGTGAGGAAGAGTCAATTTGAGCGTGAAGATTGGTGAGAAGATGATATGATTATGATTATAAAGAAGCTATTAGTTGTTATTGTGTTGTTTGATGGTGCCAATTGTTACTCCTATTTCAATAGACAATCAATTTTAAATGACTGAATCAATGTAAGCATTTTTTAGGGAAACCTTTTTTTTATTACAATGTTAAGTTTGTGGATTTGCTCAACTTAACAATCAGTTGTTTACTTTCAACTCAAGGTTAATTGTTATTAAACTTGTTTTTGCCGTTTTTGCCATCTTTTTCATCTTTCATCTTCTCTTGCTATTCCTAATGATGATTAAGAAAATGAAAAATATACAATTTGCTTGCTTTTTCATTGTAATTTATTTACTTTACTGTTTCCCTTTCTGAATGTTCAATGACTATAAATTATGACTATTATGATTGCTGTTAATTTCATTGTCTCCGGAAGTTTAACTTGATTCTAATTCTCACAATATATCAATAACAATTTAAACCTCTCAAATGAAAATAACAATCATTTGCATCAAATGGTTAACTTTATCAGCTTAATCAAGTGTAATTGTAGAAGACGGTTTATTGTTTATTTGGTGAAAATATCAACTTTCAAGTAAATTTAATTTTCTTATCAACAATCATATTACCCTTTTTTAATTATAAATTTATCTACTCCCATTAATTAATGATAAACTTTCTCATAGCCATTCTCATGAGCATCAAAATTCCTAGAATTTATTATCAACATGAGTTTGTTTTGCACTGAATTTCAAAAGTTTGGAACCGGTATATTCTTTGATGTAGGCACGAAATTATTGAGTAAATTGGTTGAATTTTTTTGGGTGTGCAGATCTGAGTGATCTTTTGTTATGAAAAAATGAATCTGATTTGTTTTCGGTTATCTGTAATTTTAGTTTGAAGTTCCGACAACAGAGACTAATTAGCTCACCAGTTTAGAACCACTGATTTTTAAAGACAACCAGTTTGAATAGCGTCATGTGCTGGTGAATGCGATTTAATCAAACTGTTATTTTGTCAACAGTTAACATCAAGAAACTACACAGAGCTGAGTTTAGTTTTGACAATTACCAATCTGGTTTGTTCAATTTATGTTAATGCGTCTCTGTTGATCTCCAATCAAATCACAATTTGGATATTTTATCAATGAGTCATGACAAATCTTTTGCCAACTCGAAGCTATATGATAAAAGTTCTCGGGCTTCGCCCTTGATAGTAAATCATAACTTATCGTCGTAGTCTAATAATACATAAAATAATGATTTGATAACAAAGTGTTTACTAAAATATTATCAAAAACACTTATCAGCTTTTATTTTGAAATCGTTTCTATGGAAAACAGTTTCCTAACGATCTAAACTCACCAACTCGAAATTTACCAACAAAATAGTTTTTAGGTGCGTAATCATTCCTTGAAGTTTGATCTGAAGCTGGACCTCTTGCTGAAGATCTCATTCCATCCATTTTAACCCGAATTTATTTTCCCATTGTTTTACCGGGAAAATTAAAGAAACTTCATAAAATTATCAGAATGCAATGAAACTTGAAGAGATGATTTACTTCTCATTGAAAAAGTATTACAAACTTCATCCAGATTGACAATCCTTTTTAGCAGCAATTAATTTTGAATTATTTAATTAAATTGCAATTTGGGTCACAAATTAAATACTGTTTAATGTTTAAACCGGGAAAATTATCACTATTACTATTGTATTGTACAATATTTATATTGTTGAATTAAAGTTGGGTTGTTTGCGATTCATTGATTCAATTGAATGTAATAGTAAATAATGAAGATGACAATTTTTTCTTCTCAACTGGGAAAATGTTCAGTTTGTTCATGTGACTTACATTTTACAATCAACTGCAATTAACTCACAATTTTTACAATTTCAAATGTTGATGGTCTATTAAAAATGCTGTCATCAATTGTTCACTCTCACTGTTCCTTTCATCATCCATTGTTATTGAATATCAATCATTGTACCAATGTGGTCTAACCTACTGCAAGTTGATTGATTAATACTTAACAACAAAATGACTTACAAAGGGTTTAATTAAAGCACGATTGAGAGACGAAGAAGAAGAAACTTAATGATAATAATTTACTTACAGGTTGAGCTATACTTAGAGATGAAAACCTTGCAAGTTCTCAACTTTCACCTGCAATTATGATTCATTAAACAGGTTAATTCTGAGAATTCTGTGAAAGTTTCATTTCTAAAATTTGATAATTAATTGAATGGAGAAAAGGTGAGGAACATAAAGAAAACCAGGAAACATTCAATTCTAAATTCATCAAATAAAGTTCAATGGACGCATGAAATGATATCATTTTATGATTTATAAATATAGTTGGCCATTTTGATTAACTCCAACTATTAGTCAAAAAATGAGTTTAAAAAATTAATTAGATTAGTGTTGAGATGAAAGTTGAAACTTTTATCCATTCACTTGCGGCAATCACAAAAAATTGATCATTTTAAATTTCGTCACGTAAATGAATTAAATGAAAACAATTCTTGATTGTCTTATCACAAACTTTTCAATTGAATCATATTCAGATTTTAAATGCGATTTCAAATGTTGATTTATGTTTGAAATGAAATGCAAAGATACAATCAAAGTAAACATTTTGGTTACCGCAATGTCCATGCGAAAGGTTTTTTTCATGGAAATAACAAGAAAATTATTTTTTTGTTTCTTTCGCTTTCAATTTACATTCCATCATAAGGTTTTCCTTTTTCATGGTAATGAAGATGATGGCGAAATAGAGAGTGATTTATGGTTATTCCAAGTGATCCTTGAAGCGTTTTCTTCTCAATATAGCTTTCTCTCTTTGATCATCTTCTTCTCAATCTTACTGTTCGTTATTTTACCAAACTTAATCACTTTCCACTAGTTAATCATCATCATAATCATCATTACTACTGTTATTATTATCATTCGTTCATTTGGTTATCAGCTTTAAAGTTTCAGTAGCAATGTTGACTCTCTGTGGGAAGGCGCCATATACTTATACGCCTATTCACAATGATTTACACTTTAATGGCAACAGATTATCATCATCATCATCATTTTAATAACAATAATAATCTATAGTTTTTACTGTGTTTGGCTTCAAATTTTGGGTGAGAAAAATTTCATGCATCAAAACCCATTTTTACCTGTGTTTTTGACTTTATTTTACCATTTTATAAGCATCATCATCATCATCCTCTTCTAGATGATTCACAAATTGTTGCCGAAAATTGTTTACTCAAATGTATACTCAAAACTGATTTTCAGGATTCACAAGAGAGGCTTAGATGATGATCAAGTGCGAGAAAAAATAAAACTTCCAATGTTTTTATTGTTGTAATCATAATTGTATCCACATTTTTACTATCAATGGTTAACAATGGACTCAATTTTTTGTTAACAATCAACAGATTGTCCAATAAATGAGCCATCATTACTTCTCTCCTTTCCCATTGTCCTGCAAAACTCAACATTGAATTGTTTCTCACAAAATTTTCTTAATATTTATTACTAATTCATCTTGATTGTTAACCATTATTCACACCAATTTTCAACTGATTGATCATATTATTTATTTCAATTCCAAATTACCACCCAACAAGAATAATCTGAACAGGAAAATCACGAGAAATTAAACACACCGTGAATGATTAGTCAAATTGATGATTTAGATTCTCAATCAAAAATGAAAAGCTTCATTTTAAAACATTTCCAATAAATCATGAACCATTTTTTTGCGATTAATTTTGTTTTTCTTTCAAATTTTCAAACAAAACCATCGTCATTCAAATTGTTGACTTGATTATGTTTTCAAACCAATGATCTCATTTATTGAATGATAATGTTTTATCAAAACAGACAACAGTAACAATTACAATAAATTGATCGCCTTATTGGTAAACAGTTTACTGTAGTTTAGTTTACCATTAATAGTGATTTCAAGTGGATCTGATTGTCTATCATTTTGTTTGATTAAAGCTCAACAATTAAGCCAGTAATTTAACTGTTTACAACTTTCTTTTGTGCCTTTTATCTTCAAAGTGAATTGACATTGAATTTTTGTTATCAAACAATATTGCCAATTAATTATCAATTAAGGTCAGTCAACTTGTATAGCTTGCTTTGACTGATTTCAAATTTACTGGTTCATCCATACATCATCAATGTATCATAATTGTTTCAATTCAAGTTCAACATCAATGATGAACTAAATTCAATCTTTTTCCTTCTTTCTCGTTCATCTTACCATGTTATACTTTTTTTGTGTGTGTAGTTAACTAGTTTACTTGATCATCTTACATGATGAATCCCACTTTATACCTTTTTGTTACCAACAATTAATGTTAACTTATTTACCTTTTTTCTTCTTCTTTTCTTCTGATTGTTTTTGCCTTTGTTTGGTTATCATTACTTTGGATGGTTATTTAATTGACAATAACAATTTTGTCGTCAACAATTGAACAACAAAACAGCAGACCCGATGATGCCATTTACCGCTATTTGATGAACCATTTTGGGTTAAACAAGTACTTGTGTGGAGGCAAGCAAAACTGAAATAAAACGTGAAAAATCGCAAGACAATAAACATTACAAAAAGGACCATTTTGGACCGATTATAACCACCAAAAAACTTGTCCACCATGAACCAGGAAAATTACCACAATGGTGGAGTTAAAATTCACCTTTATGAAGATCCATTAACATTAAACATTCAAACTCCAAAACCACCGAATTCAGCTCCATATGAGATTCCTTTCATCAATTCACCAGCAGTTATTACCGCCAATGGTACAACAACCATGATAGTTACCGATGGTTGTGCCACTTTAGGACAGCGTAAATCATCGATTCCTCGCTTACGGTCATCCAAATCAACTTCTGCCCTGAATAACCATTGCAATAATAATTCAATAAAATCACCGGTCAACGGTTCATCGACAACTAATCTGGATGAGAATGAAATTTATCAAATTGAACGCTTCTACTTGGCCCATAAAACCTTTGTTTATGTATCTCGATGTATGGCCAACCTGTATTTTACCAAAACTGATTTAATAAATGAGGGAAGAGTTTCATCTCCGCGTTCCCATGAATGGTCACTGGAGCGAACTGGTGTTCCCTTGATTATATTTGATAAGGGTGAAACTCGAGCTCGAGATAAGCGCCAGTTAAAGATTTGTCTCGCTGAAAGAGGAACTGGTTTTAATTTGTGGGGCGATGTCATTGACAATTTAACCGATTACAAAGCTGTCCATCCATGTTTCCATACACTCTATTTATCCTGTGATCATCGTCAAATGGCTGGACTTTCATTTGACTCATCTGAAGCTGCAGCTGACTTTTTACGTAACATTGAGGCGATAACTTGTGACCCGTTAAACATTGCCCTGTCTGCGCCTAAAAGGTTAATCAAAAAAGACGTCAAACCAAAGTCTAAAAGTAAACGAGACTCCTACAGATTACCTCGTAAAGAGGACATTTCATCTCCATGTTTATTTCAACATGTAATCAATGTGGACACTAAAGATTTTGATCGTCTCTTTTCAATTTCATCTTTGGTTCCTCATCGACTCAACCCGGAGCTTAGATCACTTCATTCACTTAACACAACCTCATCTGTACCACCTCCTTTCCTCTCCTCACCATCACCTGTTGCCTCGACAACTTCCAATTCTTCCATGACAACAACATCTTCAGAAAATTCTTCCAATTTTTCCGTTTAACCGACAAAAAATAAAAGACAAAGAATAACCTTTCAGATAATATCCATACTGATCCATCAGTCTTGTCCATCAATATTGGAATCAATTTCAACTTCTTGAACAAGTCAACCCTTCCATCGTTGCTTGATATCTTTCATAATCAACTAAATCACCCACATTGACTGCATTCATTATTTGACTTGTTGTCAAAGTGATGATTGATTCTTTTCCTTTATTTCTCAACTTCTACCTTCCTCATTGGATTGATTTTAATCAAGACTCCATTTTTTGGTCCTCAACCGAGAGTAACTTATTTTTGTTACATCTTTCATTTATAACTTGTCATTTCATTTTCATCCAACTTTTTATTTGCTTTACAAAAAAAGACATGATCAAGAGTTTTAAGCCTTTAATCATCATTGATTGCTGAAGTGCTTTAGAAATTATTCCAATCTTTTCATAAATGGTCTAATTATTAACTCTGTTTGAATTGTTTTGTATATATAGACAACTTTGAACAATGTGCTGATGAGTGAAGATAATTATTGTAAGTGCCAAGTTCAAAAGAAAGATATGAAACAAATCTCACAAAAGTAACTGAAGATAACCAATCATTTAAAATACATTGATACAAAAAAAGTAAATTGTTGTTCATCATCAGTATCATCACTTCTCAAAACTTCAATTGTCATTAATCCAATTTCATAAACAATTCTACTTGATCTACTCGACAATTGTAATACTTTGTACATTACCTCCAATATATTTCTATATATTACATTGATATAGCATATAAATATGTAATTGCATTATTTTCATCAATGGTTTTAACAAAGATAAATATCTTTTAGTTAATCAATAAATGTTAAATTTAAAAAACAATCATGTGAAATTATTTTTTGCTTGAGAATTAACGGCTCGGGAAAAGGGATTGACGGTGACAAAAAAGACCGAATGACGAGAGAGAGACAAAAGAATGGTAAAGGGGTGAGGTTATGAAATGGAAGATTACAAGATGATTTTGGATTGAAGAGAAAGTTAGATTGAGTTGGAAAAGCCAAGAAAAACAATGAGAAACATTTGAGCTCCATTAAAGTTGGAAAATTATTTAACATGCACAATCTTTTTCAATGGGCTAAGAATTGGATCAAATTGGCTTTCTAGGGAAAGTAAGAAGCCGGTGTTGGCTTCTTCGGAGGCAATTAAGGTGATCATTATTGGCTGATGATTGAAATGAATGATTTGGAAAGTGTCATATAGACAGGTGATTGTTTTACATCGTCCGGATCCAAGTTTAGAGGCTTGTTCACAGGCAATTCCAGTGGAAAGCAGGAAATTTGGTTTTAATGAAAGCTCTGGAGGTCTGTCGGTGGTTGCTAGGTGAAAAAAGATTAAAATAGAGAAAATGTAAATTAGAAAATATGTGTAATAACAGTGATAATCAATTTTTTACGAGTCATAATGCAACTTAATTGGGGATACAAGAGAAACTCGTAAGGGATGACGTAAATTTTATTGTCAATATCCGCTGCAAGACATTGAAATTAAATATGAAAGTGAAAGTGAGAAGAAATAGTGAAAGGGGGGATTAATGAGTAAGCATGATAATGGGTTAGAATTTTAAAGTTAATACGATGTACCTGCGATCAATAATAAAAGTGTTAGAATTTAAGATTCATTACACAGCAGTTATATGGTGACGGGATGGAAACAGTTTGTTAGGGGATTGATTAGAAGATTTACCTTTAATTATTGGAATTCCATCTCTATCAGTTATCAAGATGGCTTGCAACCCTTCAGTTGTATTGATTAGATGGTTGAGATCTCTCCGGAGTTCCTAATTAGATTAGACGGAAAATTAACAGAAAATACAAAGAGTGTGTCAGCACAGGTATCCAAGAAAATAACAGAAATTGACACTTACCTCACTTAAAGACATGGTTGGTGGAAATTTGTTCATCTGAATAGATCAAGAAGTGATTAAAACAGAGGAATAATTAAAACGATTCTCTATCTGACAAAACAAAATAATAACAAAAAAACTCCTTATCCTTTTTTGATTACAAGCTGTACAAGCTGTCAGTAGCTCCATCTATGCAATATCAGGCTTAAAATGAAGACCCAATAAAATTAAAGCGCAGCAGCCAAAATTTGATTTCATTTTCAAATTATCTTCACCAGTGAAACAAATTTTCTCTAATTAATCATGACCTGTGATAATCAAGAATCAACTAACAAACCTTGTTGTAAAAATAAGCAAGTGAAAATGGTCACTATCAGTGAGGTAAGTAGGCAAAAATTGATTATTTGTGGTCTTGTAAAACTAATGCTCTGCTATTTTACCCAAACAAACCACCTTTAGTTACCCTTGTATGGAAATCCTTATCCACCAGCTGATAAAATTGATTCTGGTGAACGTGGTATGATTGAGGAAAGTATTGGAGCCATGCGAATGGCAATCAAAGATAACCTAAAGTTTCTCGATGGATTCACCACGCGAGCCAAAGAAATTATTGATACAGCCAAAGCTCACTCTATGACAACAATAGATTATATTACCGATGAAGAAAACACAGTACCTAAAGCATTAGCCATCTCCGGCAGTGGACTTTTTGGTCTTTTATTGGCTTCTAGACGAGGATTGTTCAAAAAGTTATTGTATACAACAACGGGTGCTGGTGTTATGACTGGAGTCTGCTATCCTAAGCAATCAGGAGAAATGTTAAGCGTTGCTGGTTATATTGTGAAGAATAAGGGATTCCCATTAGTTAATGAATATACCGGCATAGATCTTAACCAATATTTTAACAAAGATAATGAAAAGGACAAAGATGAGAAAAAAGGAAAAGACCACCAATCTTAAGGAATCTTCAAGAAACCGGAACACTCCAATAATAATTGCAATCTTTTAGTCTTTAATTCTGACTAGATGAACTCATCACAGTTACCTTTTAGATTCATCTTGAGAATGATGGTCGATTGGAACCAAATGCTTTATTTAGATTGTTATATTTCATTAAATCATTCAGTTGTGATTAAATATTAACTAACCAATTATTGGACAATATATTTATTATACACTTAGCTTAATCAATTATCATTACAAACCGTAGATAGCTGATCATTTCAGTCGATCTCTAGTTTCTTTTTATGGACAATTTTTACCTTTCTATCGATTTGAAAATGTTTTTTTCACATCTTTGTTTAGTGCGAATTTTTATTACGATAACTTTATTTCGGAATCGTCTGCGATTTTTAATTCAGTAAATAATCGAAAAAATAAGTTTTTAAGGGATTTTAAATGATAAAAGTAAAAAATAATTTCACTATAATCTTTAAATTAGTTCATATTTAATGGTATAAATTCGTATTCTTTAATAATTTCTTGTAACGGTTAAGTCGATATATTTAAGCCCAAGAACGATCCATGATGCGTCCAAATTATGCTTGAACGTATCTAAATTTTTCAATAATTTTAACATTTCATTTAGTCTTCGCAATACACTTCTACGACAAATTGAATGAGTTATGTTTCCTTTCAAGCCAATCCCTGTAACGCTTTTTTATAATTTTACCAACATCCGAAATTGCATCTGGATCTTTCATGTTAATAATACAAGAAGCAAATATGGTTTTATTTTCTTGGAAAAATTGTAATCAAATCGCTGCGATGGAAATAATGAATTAGGTTAACATCTGTGACGATTGCTTATTAGTAGCCCTTTGATTTTTACACAAGTTATATTGAAATTTATGTTTGACAATATTGGTTTAAACAAAGTGATCCTAAAACTGAAAATAAATTGGGTTGACTGTGAAAAATTGTTTTAAAATGAAGCAAATCTGTTTATGCTTGAGTCTATTAGTTTTTCATGTAAATGCGCTGGTTGTACCAAACACAACCCACATTCCTGGTCACCATTTAGAACGTATTAGCAGACAGTTGCTTGATCCTATTTCCAGTGGTGATCCTTCATTCATGGCAGTGGTTATTCATGGAGAATGCGAGCATTTGTGCGGAGGAGTTTTCCTGACACCCCAACATATCCTGACACTTTCAGATTGTGTTAGAAAGTAAGTATGAAACAACCAAAAGTAACCTGTTAACTTAAAAACTAATTTGAACCCATTTTCAACCAGAGACAAAAACAAGATTAAAATATACCCAAATATTCCCTATTATTTGCCTCATTGCGATGAAGATCACACCGTTTTCCCCATTGATAAAGTAATTTTTATGCCTGGTTATGACCCAAAATCACACGATAAATCACATGCAACCAGTTTGGCCATAGTTCATCTGGAAAAACCAGTGACCACAGTAAAGAACATTTCGGTCAATCATGATAATTTTGACGCCAACCAGGAAACAATTTTGTTCACTTTGGGTATCAATAGACCACTCCATGTTGATGATTTTGTTGATCCACAAAAGTGTCAAACTTTATGGCCAGAAGGTGGACCAGTAATTTGTGGTTCTCTTCGTGATAAAGGCACACCACACAAATGTACTCTGGTTCCCGGTCTGCCTTTGATTATTAATCATAAAGGTCAAGCCTACCTTAAAGGCCTTTTTGTAGATCCTTTGAGTTGCCCACCGAAAGATGTGGTTTACGTTAATGTAACAGCTCATTTAAATTGGATCCTATTGGCAACTAAACCCGTCACTGGCCAACGTGATTCAAGTAATGGCCCATTGGTTATGAGAAAAGTCCATCCACCAATCTATCCTGATCTCCATGTCCATAGAGTCTGGCCTTTTGCACCCCCTGAACATCATACTACTGATAATAGTCAACACAACTCGAGTGCTAATCATGTAGGACAAGGTTGCATTTGTAATTGTGAAAAGTATCGATCCAACAATTCCTATTCTTTGTATGGCGACAATGACGATCCATTTCAACCAACAGAAAGAAGCAACAATAATAATAACAATAATAACGGTGTTCATGGCGGTGTTCACAATCAAAATCAAAATCATAACGACTAACTAATCGTAATGTTCAACATTTAAACTAACTTCAGCACACAAAAATAGTACTGATCGAAAAAATGTCTAAAATAGTCTGTTTTTAATGAATTGATGTAACTAAAAACCATAAATAAATTAATAAATGTAACATTTTAAGGCCATTTAATAATATTTATTAATAATAATCATATAGCGGACAATATCCCATTGAATTAACTAAATTTAGTTAAACTAATAATTAAATAAATACTATGTCCAAGCACTAGTTCCAGTCATTTTCAAGTCACCACTTTGGAGTCATAATTACAACTCAACTCAATAATCCTTTAGTTAAAACCAAGAGTTAGTTTTGCCCTTCTGACCATTGTTGAGAATAAGAAATAAGACAGGAAAATAGACAGAATAAAGAAAGAGGAGAATAATTTTGACCATTTCTCTTTCTTAATTTGAACATTCAATGTTTGAATGTTACATCCCCCCACTTTAGGTCAGTGGCACCGTCGTTTCCACGATTAGTGGACGAATAATTCAATAAATAATAATAATAATAATAATAATTTGTCGGACAATATTTTCCATTGAACTAACCAAAATCAGGTTGAATTAATAATTAATTGAATACTAAGTCGTATTGCCGACTTGAAACAGATTGTGACCATTTAACAATATTTGTTAATAATAATAATTTGTTGGACAATATTTTCCATTGAATTAACTAAAATTTAGTTAAATTAATAATTAACTGAATACTAGGTCCCATTGACGAAATACCAGTTACATTCATTTTCACCACAAGAATTGGTGAAATAATAATTTCAATATTAATTAATATTGAATGGATGATCGTGGGTTAACTCACCCAGATTCATCCTGTCGACTTGTAACATTTTAAGGCCATTTAATAATATTTATTAATAATAATCATATAGCGGACAATATCCCATTGAATTAACTAAATTTAGTTAAACTAATAATTAAATAAATACTATGTCCAAGCACTAGTTCCAGTCATTTTCAAGTCACCACTTTGGAGTCATAATTACAACTCAACTCAATAATCCTTTAGTTAAAACCAAGAGTTAGTTTTGCCCTTCTGACCATTGTTGAGAATAAGAAATAAGACAGGAAAATAGACAGAATAAAGAAAGAGGAGAATAATTTTGACCATTTCTCTTTCTTAATTTGAACATTCAATGTTTGAATGTTACATAAATAATGCCAATTATTTAATTTCTAATGGGCAAATTAATTAATAAAACATTTAATCAGTATTTGAACACTTAAAATGTAATATTGAATAGTTTTTATTACAATAAATTACTTATACACTCGATCAATTAAAGTTAAATACTAAAACTTCAATTCATTGAATGTTGAAAATACATTTATTTGAACCGAAAGAATAGTGTCAAAAACTTTGAATTTCGAGCTAAGAGTCGGGACTTTGTGATTTTGTAGTAGTTTTTAGTTAAAACTGAGTCCATAAGTGCTATTAAAAAGTCTGTCTGACCAATAGTTTTAGAGAAAATCGATTTCAAACTTGAAACTTCGTTCGGCTTTTGTACAACTATGGAATCAGATTTTTATACGAAACTCAATTTTACTGATGTGACTTTTGATGGGCAACCAGAAAATGCAATTACTTTGAGAAAAAAAGTTTCCTTTTTTACGTAAAACAGATAAGTTCGATTTTTAGTTAAAAAGGCCACATTCTATGACCGTAAGATTTAGAGAGCTTAAACTTATTATTTTTTGATAAAATATGTTGGCACACCTCGACGATAAAACAGTTTCTCCAAATCATGGACAGTTCTCTTGATTTTGGCCATTGGTCTCAAAACTTTTAACCTCAATATTTCGAGAAGGCCATTTCCTACAATCATCATTCTTTCACCAATTCAATCCTTTACTAATTACTAATTCAATTCAATTCAATAACTTTCCATTAGCGCGTTCGGGTATGATATTCGGGTAGTAAATGTATGAAAAACAACTTATTCAACCAACTAAACTCATATTAACTCATATATTGCTAAATAAGCCAGTTTTCTGGTTTCACTTGTCAAAGAAATGCAAAGAATGATGCAGAAGACTCGAGCAATTGAATTAAAAGTTGAGACTTGGTGCATTTGTAGGGACATTAAAACTGAGCCCATTGGTACTATTAAAGAATTCATCCGATGGACAGTTTTCTAGAAAATTGAGGTCAAAGTTGAAACTTCGACCTCCTTTTCTTCAGCTATGGAAGCAGATTTTTTCATGGAACTCAATTTTACTGATTTGACTTTTGATGGGAAACCAGCAGATACACTTATTTTGAGAAATTGGACTTTTCTTTTTCTGCAAAACAGATTAGTTCGATTTTGAGTTAAAGCGATTTATTTCTGAGACCTTAAGTTTTAGAGAGCTTAAACTTGGTATTTGTTGATTAAATTTGTTGCCACACATCTACGATTGAATAATTTTTTCATTTCATCGACAGTTCTCTTGATTTTAGACATTGACCAGAAAACTTTGAACATCAATATTTCGAGAATGGTATCACTTACAGTCATTATTCGTTGACTAAACATTAGATTTTTGCATGGGCTCTAACATCATATGATTGAATATGTAAGAAATTCCGAGCTTATTCATTTATATCCTGAATATCCTTCATCCTAATACTAACAAACAACGTTTGGGTTAAAAAACCATTTACCTTTATAAATCAAGTATCAAAGATGTCAGCATAAGTAATACAATGCTATAACTTGCTTTGTAGGAACTCGAATGATCTTAAATTTCATCGCATTTTAGCACATAATGGAATATATTGTTTTGTCAAAGAATAATGATTGTAGGTAAAGCCATTCTCGAAATATTAGTGTTCAAAGTTTTCTGGTTAATGTCTAAAATCAAGAGAACCGTCGATGAAATAAAAAAATTGTTCCATCGTCGATGTGTACCAACGTATTTTATCAACAAATACTGAGTTTCAGCTCTCTAAATTTTACGGTCATAGAATGGGGCCAGTTCAACTAAAAATCGAACTTATCAGTTTTGCGTAAAAAAGGAAACTTTGTTTCTCAAAGTAAGTCCATTTTCTGGTAGTCTATTCAAAGTCACATCAGTAAAATTAAGTTTTATGTAAAAATCTGATTCCATTATTGTACAAAAGCCGATCGAAGTTTCAAGTTTGGAATCGATTTTCTCTAAAACTATTGGTCAGACAAACTTTTTAATAGCACTTATGGACTCAGTTTTAACTAAGAACAACTAAAAACTCACAGACTTCCAACAATTAGCTCGAGTTTTTGACACTATTCTTCTGTTTTAGATGCGTTTTTACACAAAGTTGTTTAAAGTAGATTTTAGTTTTCTAAATCTATCCTTTCGACTGATAATTGTTGAATTCAGGCTAAATATATGTACATGCTTATTAAATCATGTGGTAGATCGCCAATGAAAATTGTTTTCAGTTTCCCTCAACCTCTTCTTTACCTTTAACATTAGTCATTAGTCTGTTCTGTACAATGATCGTTCACTTATTGCTTTTCCTTCAGTTAATCAGCCTGATTAATTCAGAACTTACTAATAATGATAATCAAGTTGCATCTTTTCATCTCCTCCTCTTCTCATTATCATCATGACTTTAACTAACAAAAATCTACTGAGAAGTTAATTCTGTTCATTGTAAAGCCCTCCTTTAAAACTAAGGCTAAGTTAAACCTTTCAATAAAAGCTTGTACAATAACAATCATTTTACTTAAGATCAGTGAAATTTAGATCATTTTTATTCTCATTTTCAGTCCCAATACATATTCAATGTGCAAACATAGTTAGTTTTAATAAAACAATGATTCGTTTGGTCGAATACAATTTAACAATTAAACAAAACCAACAACGACATCCATTGTCACCAACAATAATTGTTCGCCAATTTGTTTTGCTCTGTTGCTACCTTTCATTGGTCAGATATGCTGTTCATGGTGAAACCAATGAATCAATTAGTTCAATTATCACTGAACAACAACCAACCACTAATAGTTATACTTTGGCTGAATTCAATAAAACATCATCAACATCACTTGATTTAACAAGCGATTCAAGCAACAATAGTGGGACTTTTGATGTTAATGGTATTAATGAGTTAACCAAGCCGATTGAGGCAACTTCAGTATCTTATTATCAACAAAGTTCAGTTGAATCTGATCATGTTAACACCCAGCCAACAGTAGATGTGCCATCAATTGTCCGAAGTGATTACAATCAACAACTGGATTACAATAGTTCAAGCATCTCCAAGAAACCCACAGTTATGGGATCACCAGCAATGGGTCCTTTCAATTCATCCCTGTCACCCTTACATGCAGCCAATTCAACGTTAAATGCGACTAATTTGTCCAACAATCAATCGACCATTTGTGATAGATATACATTTGATCATCAACAAGTGGCCAAGTTTTTTCTCACGACCATGATTCTGTTAGGTTTCTGTTGCCTACTAATTATTATTGTCCTCATCTTGGTTGCCTACATTTATCGTAAATTGTCCAAGGGAAGAAACGTTAAGGTATGGTTTAATAAGTAATCATTTATTGATCTACAGCAACAATTTAACAACATATAACAAGGAGACAAACCAAACCTGTGACGAAAATTTATGTTACATTTTAGTTCAATTTGTAGATGTAAAGATCAGATCTAAAGACAATCGGTATAATTTTGATGATAATCCCATTCCTAGCTCGATCGCTTTCATTGCAAAGGTAAACTGTTACGAATCAGTGTCTTTGAGATAATAAAAGGCATAATTCAAAGCTGAAAAGGAACGGAATATTGCAGGTTTGGGTAAAAACGAGAGCAATAAGTGGTAAATTTTAACATCAATCAATATCAAGCGACCAAAAGCCAGTTATGAAAATGGACCAATTATTCGGGAAAAGACATCATAAGATTGGAAAGTAAATCTTTATACACTGAAGAGGAATTGGAAGAAAGTCGACAACTATTCTACAAAAAAGTAAATATCGAGAAAATGGAATCGAATTGACAGCCAGGAAAAATCTGTGGAGAACAAGAATCGCCATAAATAACTTAGCAAATGTCATCGATGCTGAAGAAGGACCATTTGAAACCTTAGAGCTAATGTTTACTTTGATGGACTTTACAGGAAAAAGCAAAGGATCAGAATCAAGGGTCAGCTGCGAGATTGATTGTGAGCGCGTCTAATGTCTCGTGCCTAATCTTTTGCCGAACTGGACAGTAAATAGAAGTCTATTTTTGAAATAAAAAACCAATTGAGTTTATTGGGAATCAACCGAATAACTAACTTACGAACTGTTTGTAACATAATTTTTCCTTACAGGTTTTGTAACCCAAACTGTATTGCGAGTCTTTAATAAATGTTGTCTTTTGGTTAAACTATTGCTACTAATTTTCATTTTCATCTAACAGTTAAACTGTTCAAGTGAATTGTAACTAATCACTTAAAATGTGATCTTTTAGCCTCCTAATCATTTAAATTAACTGTTCAATTACATTAATAAAGCTCAGTGCAAAACTATTGGGGAAATTCATTTTAATTGTGAGTTACGACGATTTTACTTCACCAGCATTTTGAGTACAAACTCAAATTGTCAACTCACTTTGACGCGTTACTTTGAATAGAGATTTCTAGCTTAAGGTTTCAACTAATCAATTAATTGCCGTATCTTAGATCAGTAACATTGAAAAAATAAAGTCCAAGCTTTCATGGGCCGAATCATGAATATATCATAATTGAAGCAAGATACAAGACTGAAATCGGGTCTAATTAATCTTTAGTAAATAAACTATGGAACTAAATAATGATCGTCGGTCTTTTAATCTCGAAGGTACAATTTTTGGATGTTCAATTCTCAATACTTTTGCACTAAGCTACGCTACTAAGCACTATCGTATTGTATTTTATTAATCATCCGCTTAAATATGTGAGTCTCCGGTAACCAAGTTTAACCAAAACAGCACAACAGACTACAAGAACTGCAAGAGTTAGACTTGGATAAATCAAAGATAGTTCATTATAAGTCTTATAATGAGTAATGATAATTCAGTCTCACAATGATAATGATAAATCATCATCATCATTGGTATTGATGATTAATTCGATTGCTTCCGTATAATGACAGAAACATTTTACCTTTCTGGACTTAAATACCTCTCAGTTGACATCTTACCAATTGCAATCATAAAAACAAAATGCCTAGTTTGATCGAATCATCGATTTTTTTCTTCGATTTATAATATTCAAATTCTTATGTTTATTTTCGATATTTTAAAGGTTAACAATGATAAAAGGGACGAGGGAAACATTGAGATTGATACAATTAAAGATGGCCGGTTTTATCCAATACAAGACAATGTTAACTTAGCCTTTGATGACGATGATGGGACTGAATTTAAATATTTTGGACATTCTCATTTGCCTTATTCGAAGCGTAATCAGTTTAATGATCAATCGTCAACTGGATCTTTTGGTTATCAACGTTCATCCAATCCTCGTCATTGAAACTATTTATCAGCTTTCATTAGCCATGACCATATTAGCGTACTAAATGTTTAATCGATTCTTATAAATACCACACAAAGTGTTTTAAATCAACCAATATATTAATTATTATCTTAGCAACCTTACATTAATATTGCTTTTTTCAAACATAATATATTTTTTACTTCAATCATTGTTTAACTTTGCAAATTGATCATTAATATTGTATTTTTTTGGTATAAACCACACTTTTAGACATTGAAATATGTGACAAACAAAAATACCGTGAAAACATTAGAGCACATTAGATACAATTGGAGTTAATTTTTACTTTGCTATAACAAATGTAGTTGTTTTGTGAAGGCAAAATGTATGAGTTTTATCTATGATTAGATGCGGAATACTTTCCTTGTCATGCTTTGAACCATCAAGCAAATCAGAATAAATCATAGCCAAAGGTTTGTCAATCAGGTAAAGAATGAAATCTAAAAATATTGAACTTATGCCTTTTAAGCAGAGCTGTAGGAGTTAATCATTCAAAATTGAGATAGCTTCATTCAAATCATTGATTATATCGCTTAATTTTCCATTTCATCTACTGATTGCAGTGAACTGATCTGATTGAACTTACAGCGAGTAAATGTTGTTACAATTGAGACATTCAAGTTTGGGTCATATATTCTAGTTATTGTTTTATTTTGAGATTAGTCGGAAAATCATTTGTTTATGTTGATGGATGTTTTGATAAGATGAGTATAATATAATGGTAATCAACAAATGATAATCAACCTTCCATTAGAGAAATTATCTTGCAACTTGAGCAACACCTTTCTTCTAATTATAATTCAGTGGGAAACTCCAGTAATCAGTTTTGATGACCATTTAATGGATATTTCATCAAATAGTCGATAAATATGTTAAAATACAGATTTTTTAAAAAAATAAAAAAACAAGAGATAAAAACTATACAACAGAGATAACAATTATAATAATCATGAGAAGGACGATGACTACCCAATAGCAACATGTGTCTGATTTACGAGAAACTTTTGCTATGTTTCGGGTATTTCGTACTAATCTCCCATGGTTATCATCCATAGCATCAGTAATATCATCTAGAATTTCATTATGAATATCGATTTCTGTTGCAATCCCTTGAGCCATCGACTTTTGTCTTGAAATGATATCTGCTAGAGTGTCCAGTCCTTTGTCCTGTTCACGAAGCGCTTGCCTCTGAATGTTGGCATAGTCATCAACAGATGAGCTTGCTGTAGGCTCAACATCATCAAGCCAAGTATTTCCTGAGGTTCCAAATCCATTAGAGGGATTGTTCCAAGCCATTGTTTACAGAAAAATTTGTGAATCTCAAGATGAACAGCTGATGTCTTCAACCAAAGCTTGCTAAATGAAGAAATAAGGCCCAATGTAATCAGATGTCTGAAGGCGAAAACATCATCAGACCAATTTTATAATTTGAATCTGTAATAAAAATTTAAATCATTTAATATTGAAATATAAACTGAAAGAAAGCAACTAAAGTGTAAGGAGAGTCCAACTTACATTGAACAAAGATTGAGTTTACACTAAATGGGGTTCCGAGTAGTCGAATATTCAGCTCTTAGATCAGGTCAAGTAAAACACGATCGAAATTGAAATACAAACGCTGTGAAAAGTAAGATCACTTTTAAATAAACACTCTGTTAACTGAGGAAAGAAACGCCATCTCTTTTGATTTGTTAGACAAAATAAGCCTCGCTATTTATTCTGCTACATTGACATTATATGAGAAAAAAGATAACAAAGATGGATGTGTTAAGTACCAACCTCTCTAATGTCACCAACTAGGCAAGTAGAATTCACGAATCTTCTTAGAATAGACTATATGTAATCAAAATTGAAAGGATTAAGGTTAAACATCTTTAAACGTAATAACAAACTTGTTAATTTTTTTACAATAAATAAATGGATAAAATTTTGTCAACAACATAATACTGACATCTAACGTTTTGTCTGGTGACTATAAATTTTAGGTCAGTCACGTGAGAATGTGAATGTAAATGAGCTGTTTGCCTGATTCATTACGGCAAAATTTATTAGCACCAGGTTGATTTGACACAGTGAGCATCAAGTAAGGAAAAAAGAGATTTTAATACCAATTGAAGGTCAAATGGAAAATAGTGACGATGTGAACATTGCCACCGAGAAGGGGCCTTTTTCAGTTTTAACTTCAATCCAAGAAACATTTCTGTCCTCACCTTTCAACGTATTTCTAACCCTTGTTTGTGCTTTCCTCATCTATCGTTTATGGAGAAGTACTTCACCCCAGGATCGAGATAATTCAGATGTTATCAAAGTACCTGAACCTTTAAAGAAACATGACATGGACTTAGAGGAATTGAAAAATTACGATGGCCATGGACCTGATAGAAGAGTGTGTATAGCAATCAATGGTTTGGTTTTTGATTGCTCAAAGAACCAGTTATACCATCCTGGTGGACCTTATTCATCATTTGCTGGTCGCGATGCTACTCGTGGATTAGCTAAATTTAAGGTGGACGAAGTGTCAGAAGAATGGGATGACCATACTGACCTGACACCCTCTGAAATTTCCAGTGTTCAAGAATGGGAAATGCAATTCCGTGAACGTTATGAGATTGTTGGTAAATTGGTTAAAGACTTAAGTGTGACTGAGAAAAAGGATGAACTTAATGAAGAGAAGGATAAATCAGAAGATGGAGATGATATTAAGACTGTGGAAAAATCTGAGGAGAAATCTGAAGATAAATCAGACAATAAGGAAAGCGACGGACAGTCAAGTGAAAGTTAAAACATTAAATGTTTAAAGCATTCTCAATTCTGTTACTTATGCTAAAACTTTTCTCTTCCATCTTCATCTGCAGCTTTGTCTCCTACTTTCTACAATGATATACTGTCAATGTTCACAATTAAAAACAATTATTTTGTACCAATTGAGCTAATTTGTTCCACTAATGTTGTGAAAAAATAGGAGATTGGAAAAAAAAGTATTTTTATTGTAAACTCATCTTCGTTTTAAACAATATTTACCTGAAAGAACAGGAATTTTAAAATTTTTAATGAGCCTTTAATGTTACTTGAAATTATTTGATTGTTCAAATGCGCGTTTACTAAAATATTGATAACGCTTATCAAATGAATGACGTTTACAATAGAAGCTTAAATGTCAGATACTGTATCGACTGGTTAAACATCAATACAATAAAAGACGTTTTATCCATTTTATCTTTATATTTAAAAAGCCAGACAAAATAAGCTCATAATGTTTTCATCTTTTTATGAGTAAACTTCATCTGAATCGCGAGATAATTTCTATCTTTTCGATAAAAGAAAATTGTTAAGTACAATAGATTTGAAATGATATCGACTGATCAAGTTTCAATGGACTCATTTTTTCTAGTTATTATGATAGCTCTTCATTAGGAACGTAATATCAAACCAATCTTTGCTTTTTAGTAGTTTATTTCATTTGTTTATTCGACAGAAAAGAGATAAATCAATCATCAGAATCGTCACTTGTCTCAGTTTGTAAGTCGATGAATCTTTCGAAGTTTTCCCTTTTGCATGAACCATCAGAATTGAAGATATATCGATGGAATGAACCATTTTCACATACAGCTGCAAATAGAAAGCAAGAAAAAAGAATCGAATGTTAAATGCGAATAAACAGTAAAAGCAAAATTAGAAAGATAGAGGAACATTTACGTTATTTTTGCACACAAAATTGATATTAGTTTTCCTCAAACAAATTGTATAAGCACGGAAAATAATCAGGGTTGCAAAATATTATAAACTGCCTGAGAGAATATTAAGTTATATGGTTAATCATATTACTTAAGTAATGAAAAATGAAAAATATTATCTTAAGGTAATATCTTGTTAGATTCAATTAGCTTCTTCTCCTTGTTTTTGACAAACGAGCTTTGTTCAAGAACAATCGTTGCATAAAATTTTTAGACTGGAGTCAAGTTTTTATCAAGGTAAAGTTACTTTAGTTGGTTTTGTTTGATTTTTATGCGCAGTAGAAGTTAACTGTGCCTGTAAGCTAACGAAAATTCTTCCTGGATCTAAAAATTTTACACAATTCATTGCTTATGAATTAAGCTCATTTGTTGATTGTATATTAAAACTAGGTTTAGTACCGTAAACTGTGTTTTTGGGCCCGAACGAGCAGACAGAGGCGCAATCATCTTTAATGTTGAAATTTGCCAAAGCCCACTGAGATTCAATGTATTGACCAAGGAAACCCATTTTAGAAAAGGCAGACTTTCGGTTTAAGCGAGTGTCTTTAAGAGCAAATATATGAACAGTGCCTTTATCACTTGATGCAACCAAGAAATCAGAATCTGGACTGAAAGCGATAGAGTAGACAGTAGCAGGATCACTTCCTCGACGAAATTCGACAACCAAAGTTTTTCTAGTTGTTTCATAGACTCTGATAAGAGTCCCTTTCATTGATGCTGTCGCTACCATTGTTCCTTGGTTATTCAAAGCGACACAAGCAATGGCACCTTGGTGGGCAAGTATATTTACTGGAGATGAAGATGCGCCAGGAGATGATGTGTTAAAATCCATTATTTGTAGAGACCCAGTCTTATGACCAGGAAAAACCATCACTTGGCGCTCACTGGTTGTATATGGACTGATTTCACAAAGTCCTCTAGGATTATCGCCCGTTTCCACAACAAATAACCTTTTAGGATTATTTGGGAATGTATAAACATGAATTTTACACCTTTCTACTACAAGAAATCTGGAACGAAAAAAAAAATTGAGAATTATTATCAGAATTGTTAACGCTAAGAATTCCTAAACTCTATTTCATTAACATATGACATATCTATATGATAAATATATTCATCGTAATAACTCAAACCATAACCTGGTCATTATCTACGTAATCAAGTTTCATCATTTATAATTTTACCAGCTCCGTCTTTTTCCAAACAATGACATCAATTCTGATGTTAAATTTGAGTATCATAAAGATTGGATGATTAAATTTAGGAAATTATTGAATTGAGAGCATGATTTAAATGATGATCACGTCTAAATAGAGAAACTATTTATAAAAAAGAAACATCTGTAGGAAAAATATCGCAAATTTTGTACCTGTCCTTCCGAAGCTTCATATTAAGAACAGCGGATGAAAATGTGAATTCCAAAACAAAATCGTGTTTGAGTTCATCCCATATTAACACTAGAAAAAGAAAAATGAAAGAAATTGTTAATTTGGTGATACCTTCAGAATACAATCAACAGTCAAATACAATGTAATACGGTCAAAGAGATTATGAATGCTTACAGCAAGGAAAATTAAAGTCTCTCGGAGGAATGATTTACGCTGAATTAAAATATTGCGTATTACTCTCTAGTTACTCTTATTTTAGTGAAATAAGATAAAGCTATCTACAAGCTGGTGTAGTATTTGATTGTTGACAGTAGTTCGTGACACTTAAAACAAACCTGCATTTTCAGCAAATTTAGGTGTTGAGCCTCCACCAACAATAGCAATCAAATTAGTACTGTGCAAGGTTTGAGCAAGACCAATCGATCCTACCATTGATGAATGAAGCTCGACTTTTAATTGTAATGGGTCTGCAAGATAGACTTTGACACCAGATTCTGTGGCACAAGTAAACACGTTATGGTCATGGCTGAAATGAATATTGTTTATCTCTTTCTTCTCCATGGGTAATTGGCCACCTGAAATACAATCATCAGAGTCGCCATCCAGAGCCAGAGTAGATATATCATCGACATCAGCCATTATTAAGTTTCAATTAATAAACAGTGAGAAATAATAACAGTAGAAAAGGTAAGAATTGGGAATATAACAAGCACTCAGTTAAAAAATACAATGGGTCAATGAAAACAAAAGAAATACAGAAAGAAAATGGTATGAAATTTCATTTGACCAAAATAAAGCCCACAAATGTACAAAGCTGATTAATCCTGGTTGAGCCAAGGTAACATTGTAACACCATATGATTAAAAAAAGAACAAGATTATAAAATAGGTAATTCAAAATGGAGATATTTATCAGAATAGAGAATGAAATCCAATCAAATAAAGGTAAACATTTGTTGATGTACCATATGACTGCAAAGATGATTGTTGTTGTTGGTTGGTTTCAAGCTGTTACCTTGAATGATGTAAAAAAAATTATCTTTAAATAATTTGATTTGAACTTTAAGTGGGAATTTTAAATTGTTCGCTATAGATGACTATATTAAATTTGAATAATTAATTCGGATTAGATGGGATTGCGGATTTGTTTTAGCAATTATCTTATCTGGGATCATCACTTGGAAGCCATGTTTCGCATCAATTGAGTTGTAAATTTTTCAACCCTCTTGACATCTTGGTTATTTTTAGCTAAATACATAAGACATATTTGATTATCGGTCAGCTTGCAGACAAGTTTGCCATCATTATGTCGATATTTAAGAACAAAACGGCATTTCATTGGATCATCAATGTACAATCCTTGAGCTGCTTTAGTAAACTCATCCCAATTATTGATGTACGGCATAACTTGAATAAACGAATAATTCACTTTAAGGAAAACTTGATGATACACCCGATTTAACCCACTAAGCTGTACAATAAAAATGGTTAGATGGTCCAATATTGAGTAACAGATTTAATCAACACTGAAACACTGGAGTAAATCACAATTCAAGAAGATGAGTAGAATTGAAGTTCAAATCTTTGGTTTAAAGAAAACCCAAGAGAAGTAAAATCTTACCCAGAATAAAAATATAATGAGTTGAAAACGACCAAGCTCGTAACAAAATAACTATGGGTTAACAATGAAAATTTTGTTTTTTAAACTTTATAACAATTTAAATTCACTTCTATAAACGTTAGACTGAAACTTTATTGAAATCTTCCATAACAAAAGAACTTTTGTTTTGAACAAACCTCATATAGGTGTATAATTCCATAGATGGCTGCACGTTACAAAAAAAAAGTCTCGCAAGAAACGGCGGCGTCTTAAAAGCTTTTACACAAACACCAAAGTAAAAAATAAATCCAAGAAAATTCCTTAAATGAATTGCACCTTGAAAATTACTGTTATACGCGATGAACTTAATGTTAAGAAAAAATAAGAAAATGCTGATCACTATTCAGTTATGTCATTTTAAAACAAGAGCCACTTTCTTCAATCTTGATTATAAGATTATAAGATTTATTGCTGAATGATCAAAACGCTAAATACGAAATGAAGAAATAACCTTTTCTGGCATCTAAGTATAACGATAATGACGATAATATCTAGAAATAATCAATAAAATTTGTGTACAGAAATCTTTTGAAGAAATTTTCATCCATTCTATTTGACATTTCGCAAAAGTTCAAATTACAGCTTAGCATGAAAATAAAGTTAGATCTGGATAATTTATCATCTTTTTGTGAAATCCAAGTAAATCAATGGTTAATTGTGAACTTCTTGCAATCATGGTTGAAGTAAAGTCCATAGAACCAAACAAAATCGCTTAAAATCGTCTAATTAATTATTTAGCAGAATTTCATGTACATATTCTTTAAATACGAATGTTATTCGTTTAAACACTAATTGAACCACAATATATTTATTTTGTCTTTTCGGTCAGTTGTTCAATTTTCTTCTTAGAAGATTTTATGGCCTCCTCATGTTGCTTGATTAAGTCTTCATGACGATCGATCTCTTCTTGAAGGTGGCCTCGCAACATCTCCAACTGTTCCTTTTGTTGACGTCTGAAGAATTCTTCTTCTCGGGCAGCTTCTTGTCTACCAAAAGCTCCACCAGCATCTCGGATAGATCCACCTGAACCACCTCCCTGTAAAGCCACAAAAAGTAATAATTGTCAGAAATTTCGATAGTCAAGGAAAAATAACCAATATGCAACAAATTAGTCAACCAATGGTCTGGAAGGTCAAAACTGACAAATTTAAGCAACAAACTACTGCAAGATATTTCATCTATTCTTTCTATATAGCATTTATCAAAGATTAAACTGAATCATTGGAATTAAGAAATTAAAATCCACTTACTTTTCCAGCTCCGGATCCCCATTCACCTCCACCTCCACTTCCAGAGGACATTCCTCTTAAAGATGTAAGGATTAACCGATTGAAGTTAAGGTTAAGAGTTTGACGTAAAGCCATTCGAAATGACAATTTATTTATTTATTTAAAACAATTGAATAAACTCAATACAAGATAATCAAAATTAACAATGTCACCTCAAAAATAGAACGCACGAAAGTATTGCAGTAAGTCAGATGACTGAGTAGCTACAGATCCACCTTCCTTTGCAATACTAAGCTTGATAAGCGGTAGGTTTGAAAGTTATATAATAAACATGCATGTATAATAAATAATAGTTTTTCTTTTTTATTATATATTATATATATTTTTTATACTATTAATAATTAACTATTTGTCGATGTGTATAATATTATAATTTTAAAACAATCGAAACCAAATGAATAAACAAGAACGCTTTTTAGTGAACAAAGGCAATGGTAGAGACTCTATGAAACTCTCAATTTGAGCTTTGCTTAGATCAGCTGCTGAGGTGTTCATTCAAACTGAAACTTGAAGTTATCTGAAGATGATAGTTTTGATGACGAGGTCGATGATTTGCGGCCTCATTTCATCCGTAAAGTTTTTCTTTTTTATACCTTGATGAAGATTATAAACTTCAACAGGTTAGAGTGAGTGTCATCTCTTTCCAGCCAACATCATCTCTTACTGCCTTTTCTTTCCGATCATTTCTTGCTCATCTTTTTCTCTCCCGTATCATCTTCATCATCCTCATCATCATTCTGTTTACACATCAATGGGCCTAAAACTGACTTCTTTTTTCTTCATCACTACTCTTTAATTGATTTAATACTTGCCATTGTACCTTTTTTTCATCCAGTCTCTTTTTCCAATTTAATTTTTGATTTAATCTATGTGATAACTTAGTCTAACGAAACCAAATCAACCCTATCATTGTTGTTTACTTCTTTAAAAAATCCTGATAGATCATTTTTACATTTAACTTGTATTTGAGTGATTAATCTTACATCTACCTGTACAACATAAAATCTTAAAATGGTACCTTTGGTCGATTTGGTTTTCAAAGGTTCTCGAGTTCGATTAAGACGCTATAGTATTGCTCTTATATTGATGAGTGTCCTAGTTTTAGCTACCTTTATGTTAATATCACTCGTGCCAAGTGGAACTGAAAAGAGACCTCTTAATGAACCTAAACAACGTCGAGCTCATCCTAAATTTCAACCCTTGATAGGTAAGGATGAGAAACAAGATGCTCAACATGTTGACATTAAGGAAGTTGACAACAACAATGATGCTGTAGGTCCAGCTCCTGCCAATGAGGAAGAAAACAAAATTTCCAATAATCATCCAATAAGGTAATTATCTATCATTTTTGGTGACAACTGTTTATGATAAATTGCTCTAATGCCTAATTATTTTTTTTACTTATCAAATTACAGGGTTGGTAGCGATAAATTCAAACATATTGATGAAACAGCTGGCGCAATGCCAACCTATTCTTATGGAGACAAATATGCATATTTTGAAGAGACTAGATTGGGTAATTACGAGGATGTTAAACCACCTAAGACAGGAAGAAATGGTGATGGCGGAAAACCCTTTAAACTGGATTCTGTCAAAAATATTGACCACAAAGAGGTTCATAGTTTAAAATCGCAATATGGTATGAATATTGCTGCCAGTCAGTTGATTCCTATGGACCGTACTGTTCCTGATATAAGACTAGATGAATGTAAATATTGGCATTATGCTGAAAATCTGCCCACAGCTTCGGTTGTTGTTGTATTCCATAATGAAGGATTGTCAACTCTCATGCGAACTGTCCACTCCATTTTACTTCGATCACCTCGTCAAGCTTTACGTGAAGTTTTATTGGTCGATGATTTTTCTGATAAAAAACCTCTCAAGGAAGAATTAGAGAAATACATTTCTGATCATTTTGGAACTTTTAAAAGTAGCTTTGATTCCACTGCTTATGACAAAGATAAATCTTTACAAGGAGAAGAGCTTGACGAAAGGTCAGGTAAAGTTCGACTGATTCGCAATACTGAGCGAGAAGGTCTTATCCGATCAAGATCAAGAGGTGCTAAAGAAGCATTAGGAGATGTAATAGTTTTCCTCGATGCTCACTGTGAAGTTAATTATAATTGGTTGCCACCTCTATTAGCTCCTATTGCACGGGACAAAAAAACTCTTACAGTCCCAATCATTGATGGTATCGATTCAGAAACCTTTGAATACCGATCGGTATACTCTCGCCCAGACCAACATTACCAAGGAATCTGGGAATGGGGAATGTATTATAAAGAAATCGAACTGGATATGGATAAACATTTGAAAACACACAAAGTCAGTGAACCTTACGAAGCTCCAACTCACGCTGGTGGTCTTTTCGCCATTGCCAAAGATTATTTTCTTGAACTTGGAACTTATGATCCTGGTTTACTTGTGTGGGGTGGAGAAAATTTTGAACTCTCTTTCAAAGTTTGGCAATGTGGGGGCAACCTTTTGTGGGTTCCTTGTTCTCGAGTTGGTCATGTTTACCGACCTTTCATGCCTTACTCATTTGGATCTTTAGCAAATAAACGGAAAGGTCCTCTCATCATTACCAATTACAAGAGAGTCATTGAAGTTTGGTGGGATCAACAATTTAAAGACTATTTCTACACTCGTGAACCTTTGGCTACATTTTATGATCCAGGAGATTTTTCTGCCCAGTTGGCAATTAAAGATAAACTTCAATGTAAATCCTTTAAATGGTTCATGGATCGTATTGGCCATGTTGTCTATAAACATTTCCCTCCATTGCCCAAGAATGTCCATTGGGGCGAAATCAGGAATAAAGTAAATAATAAATGTCTCGATACTGGTTCATCAGCACCACCGAGAACTGTTCATTTGTCTCAGTGTCATTCTTCTGGTGGCAACCAATTGTTCCGACTCAATGAAGAAGGACAAATTGGTGTTGGTGAAAGGTGCATTGACGCTGATAATCATAAGATGAGTCTAATATATTGTAAATTAGGATCTGTTGAAGGTCCTTGGTCATATGATGAACATACTCAACAAATGGTGCATACATCTTCAACAACATCGAAATGTCTACAGTTCTTTAAAAGTGATTCTAGCGTTAAATTGGCTACATGTGATCCAAATGACGATTCGCAAAAATGGATTTGGTCAAAGATTACTCCTTTCATCAGTCAAAATGAAGATTAATAATTTATATCTATCAACAGTTATATAACGTTTTTATAACATAATATTTGATGAATTATTACTAAATCGAAGCGCTTGGTTTCAACAATGTAAACAAAGGAGCACAAAAAAACCAGCTTGGTTACAAAAATTCATCAACCAACGATTTAACCGAATCATTCCTATTAACTTTAAAATGAAACATTATGTGATCCTAACTATAAAGTGATCTAAACTCGTTTTAGATGGAATGGGATGTTCATATTTCTATTATTATCTGTGATGTGCCTTATGGATTTGTTTTATAAAACACCTTTCAATTCAATAGTTTTTCCGTCACATACAATGTGTCGAGAAAAAGATTTCCTGATATTTCTTCCACTTTTCCATTACATGACGTTCTCATGCAAATTATACAAACATCTTGGATGAATAATTCGTTTAATACTGTGCATAGTTTGAATCATATTTTTCGCATTGAGTCACAAGTGCAAGAAACGAATATACTGAACGATAAGCTCTCGAATGAGCACAATAGTGGCTCAATCAAAAAATAGTATATTCTACCGCTACATGAATGGTGTCTTTTAATAATGGTCACAATTGCTTTCTCTTAGTCTTTTCAACTCATCTCATATATCTCTGGATATCAGTGCTTATGATGGACAATTTTCAACAAACTGGTAACATAAATTAATCTGATAGAATTATTTAAAAAATCTAAAAAATAAAGACGCAGTGAAGTCCATTTTTTACGAAAATCAAAAACAGAAGATCGTCAAAATTCTGGTTAAAAGTCAATGATAAATTAAATTAAATTTGTAAAATAAAACTTGTTTAAAATACATAATAAAACAACATTAATAAATTACCGATATATAATATTTAAGCTCTTTCTATTCTGAAAACGACTGTAATAACTTAATTCAGACACAATTTTATGAAATATTGAGGGTTACTTGGACCGTTTCTTTTTTCGACAGTAACAATATTTCTGAATGACTCTTTCTTTAATGCACAATGATTGACCGTAATAGGCATCGAGTCTCGAAACATCTCCTTCAAGCATCCAATCATCAATACCTGAGTTGTCTAAATTTGTTGTATTTTTTAAGTAAAGTAGCGCTTGAAAAAGTCCATTCGAAGGATTAGCGGATAGAGTAACTTCAACACGATCCCTTGGATTGGGTTCTCCAGGTAATCGAACAATCTGTGAATTCAAAACAATTATTAAAATTTAATAAACTAAAGTATTTTTCTAAGGTTACTCACTTTGACACTAGTAATATTTTTGAGAGAAAGCTCATGGCAGATATTTTTGAACTTTGATAAAGCTTGATTGAGTCGCGTAATTAACGCAGATGATACTATTTGAGCCAATTGTGAATCAACAGGGAAATTGTGTCTTTTTAAACATAAACAGTACTCAGTGGGAATCAAAGCGTCTCTACAGGTTCTATCTAAAGGAACTTCTTCTCGCCAAACAGAGTAAGCGGTCCGTTTAGATGGATGAAACATTGGATCATAGTTGCCTAAAAGAAAATAAAAACGCAATGGTTGTTATTATGCAGATATTAATTATCATGGAAGTAATTATTCAGAGATGATTTAATTATCTTACTGAATATTATGATTACCTGAAACAATGTCTTTCAACATTTCCCTAACATCTAACCAAGTTGTTAACCTTTTCTCGTTCATCTTTAAATAATAAGACAAATGTTGATGCTCATGTAATAATTGAGGAGGAATGTGAATATTAAAAAGAGGCATTCGAGTTTCGATTTGTCCATATTCTGTCCTAAATAAAGGTCCAAAACGGTTACCGTGATCTCCCATGATTACAAAGACAGTGTTTTCAAGTATATGGCGGTATGAATTGATGAAATCAGCAATATATTGATCAATGAGTTGAGCATTATTGAAGTCATTATGGGTAACTTGAATGTTAAAAGACCATAGAAAGAATGGTTGCTTCGTTTTGGCGACTTTGTTCAGAAATTGTTTGATTTGTTTCAACCAATAAATTATTTTGGGCTTTTGTTTGTAACAGAATCTATGAAACTCGTTCGATTGATCATTTTTAATTGACAACCAATAAGGTCTCGGGTACCAATCGGTTGGAGCTTTTTTGAATCCTAAACCCATGTGATTGAATAATGCGTATTTCGGACCATCTTCAATGTAGCCAGTTGTATAGTTCTGTCTTTTGAAATCATCCCAAATGAATTGAATAGCATCATAAGGACCTTTACCAACTTCAAATTCAAACGGCCATTCTCCATAATAGGGTCGATATCCTGAATATTATAAGAATTGAGTTAGAAAAAGACTGAGAAAATGTATATGAATGGGCAATGTGCAGAAGAAACAAGTCAAAGATAAATAGTTATTAATACATGGACATTACAAACAAAAATGCTGTTGAAACTAATGGAATATGAAAGGTTAAAAATCAATTTACCTGATAAAAGGGGCATCATGTTCGGAAAAGAATTATCAGCCATTTTGTTTAATCCTCTAAGAATGAAATTATTGGACAACTTTGATAATGCTTCTTTCGTTTTAACCATGAATCGATTAAAATTGAGTAAAGACATTGATTCTATGACAAGAATCATCACTGATTGCTTATTTACATCTGGTGTTGGATAATCAGCAATAGTCGAATGAGCTTTGTCATTGGAAGATGTGACATTGAAATGAGCAGGAACTCGACTTGGCACGAATGGATGTTACTGTAAACTAATGAACCCGAAAGATTGCATTCGATGTTAACAAACTCTGCTCCAATTTTTTCCAAATCTAATTTATAGCCAATTATTGGTTTCTTTTCCAAATATTGAATTCTATCATCATCAATACCGTGGCGATCAAATGGTTGATACATGCACTTGAATGCTTTCTCATATCCACGAATCTGGATTATCCGTACAATTGGATCAAAATCATTCATATAAGATAAAGATTGTCCTTGGTAAAGATTGTAAAGGAAATTGAAAATTCCATCCTCTGATTTTCCACACGTTATCGTTCGGCCTAATTTCTTGATGAAACCTTTAATCATTGGATCATGAGGATCCATATGAAGTGGAAGATCACACATCGTGGAGTTGGACTCGTGCCAGTCATCACGATTTTTGTATACATTTTCATGGTCGATTTCGGTAGATTTTCCGATAAACTGTAACTCACAAATTAGGTAAAACAACAAGAAACAAAATAAAACAAATATTATGCATTTCATGGACTTTAATCTCATCCTTGTTTATCGGAAGTAATAACATGAAAATAAGAAATATGAAACACTTTGAAAATGAATTAACTATTAGATATCAATCAGATAATGAATTTTTTTGTAGAAACGGAAAGCAATACTTGAACATATTCATCTGATACAATGCATATTTATTCAGCCGAATAGTGTGATCTAGTCAATGATTATTTATTTACCAGGTTGGTTCTGGAAATGATATACAATATACAATGTATATGTAAAAGAAATGTTAAATGAAGTGAATGGTAATTCGAAAGTATAGTCTTTGGTCAGTAAGTAACGGTCAGTTGATTCTACAGAATAATACATAGTTAAAGTGGAAATGAAAATAGGCGATACTGATTATAAAGTGATCTAAACTTGTTTTAGATGGATTGGGGTGTTCATCTTTCTATTATTATATTTGATGTGCCTTATGGATTTGTTTTATAAAATTGAGATTATATCTCACACATTACAAATACAATGTTGAGAAAAAGGTTTCTAATATTGTTGCCACTTTTCCATTACATTACGTTCTCATACAAATTATACAAACATGAATAACGTGAATTCATTCATCAGAAGTTATCTAAGGTCCTTTTTTGAGCCGAGTTGGATTTTCTGGGCCAATTTGGTTTTTCTGGACCAGTCCGCTTCTAAACCAATAATACCGTAAGACGGTGTTAGTTTTTTGCCAAGAAAAAAATGTAAACTTTTTTTAATGAAAATTAATAAACTTTTTTAATAGAAAAATCAATGAAAAAATGTATGAAAAAATGAAAAAATGAAAATGAAATTAATACAAAATTATAGCCCTCGGCTAGAGTCTTTTCCACCCAATTGGTGTATATTTCCTGAAATTCTTCAGGAGGGAAACCAAAGGCACGTACGCAGCGCCTATCAATATATTCAATGAATTGGTCCTTCTCGGCCAATTCATTCTTTACCTCTGCCACCTCAGCCCTCAGCTCCCGGTTTCTGGTTTGATAGCGCTGGTTTTGGACTAGCAACCGCTCAATTCGGGCTTCCTGGTCCTCGTTTGATCGCCAACTCGATCGTTCTTCTAATGAAGGAGGGGACAGCAATCAGGGCTAACTCCAAATGAGTCAGTACCCTTCTAAGTTGAATTGATAGAGGTGATGATTGACTGAAAAGAGAAAAAAGGTTATTATAAGGTCAAAAGTGAATAAAATTAAAAAAGTACTTACCCTCGAGTTGGCATGATTAATAAATTAAAGTTAATTTTAACAAAAAATAAATAAATAAACTAAATTAAACTAATTAAAGATGAGGATGAAGGCACGTTGATGGTGATAGAGACTAGAGATTACGTTAGAATGGTATTGATCCGGTTGAATAATAGATCAGAGTTAATCCATTCAGTTTAATGTAAACTGCTGGATAAATCTCAGGCTCCTACGTAGTATCCTGATAGGAGTCTATCATCTCACGAATATTGAATGTATAGGGCACGAGACTATGTGCTGTAATATTAACAACTTTGACAAAGCTGACATGATTGTCCGGGTATAGTTCTTGAAGAACTGAACCGGCTTTAGTTACATCTTTAAAGCCTGTAGCAATCACTTTGCCTGATGCAAAAACAAGGAATACACCTTGTTTTCTTATAACTTGAGCGTTGAATTTCTTCTTACGCTTAAAATTTTATTGGTCCGTCTATCCTCCATAGACTTATAATATTAGCAATAGTAAAGTTAAGCGAGTTTAATGTCATATTCACTTGTTGGTTGATAGGAAGTATGAACTAATATCACAATGACTATAATTACGATCACTAAGATCCCGAAAACAACCTTCTTCTTTGTGAGAAATTCCATTTTTGATTGAACATTTGATTGTTACTGCCTTATATAGTTTTCATCGATTCATCGGAGTTGTCCCAGAACGGACAACTTTGTGCTAGAGCGGACAACTTTGTGCTAGAGCGGACAAGTTTGATTGGGGGGGAAGGAAATATTAACGCAGGTTAGGCACACTGTATGTTGGTATTGAGACACTGTAACATTGAAAAAAACTAACACCGTCTTACGGTATTATTGGTTTAGAAGCGGACTGGTCCAGAAAAACCAACTTGGCCCAGAAAAGGACCTTAGATAACTACTTTTATCGTTAGAATTGACTGGAATTTCATTAAATCAAATTAAGGACCTTCAGTATCCAAATATCGTTTCAATTTTTCTCATCGAACAATTGAAGTCGTTTTTGTGAGTGTCCGAAAATTTACAGTGAAAAAATCGACAAAAGTGATTTTGACCTCCGTTCCTGAGTAGACTTACTCTTCTTTGAATGAATTTTCCAAAAATTAAGATAGATTGAGGTCCATAGAGATCAGATCTTGTACTTAGGATAGATTCGCAAGTATTGAGAATCTGAGGTTAGAAATTTTGTGACGCTTCGCTAGAAAATTTGATGAAAAAGTTGCTGAAAAAAATAATTTTGGTCGATTTTTGTACCCTTTAAAAACTGTAAAAATGTAATAATTTTGTGAATATTTGCCCGATTTAGAGTTTTTTGTTTATACTGATTAATTAAGGCTAAGTAATGTTTTAGCCAAAAAAGATCACAATCAAATCTTTTTTTCATAGCGAACCGCAACATTTATTTGACACCTTAATAACATGAGAAACACGGAGTTAATAACTGTTGAGTAGAAAGGACATTACGTTTCAACTGTAAACTTAATTCGTTGTCATGTAAAATGATTAATATGACGCGAGGAAAGTTATCTTGAGCATAAACGAAAATCAAATCTATTGGTTTTGGGTATAAAGTAAAGTAAAGTTTATAAAGTTAGCAAGTCAACTTTTAGTTCCAGCCTCGTACCTCTGCATAATTGTCGAGGTAATAGCTAAATGATTAAAACAATTTACATAGGTTAATATTTATTTTGACTGATTCATAAAAATTGACATTTGCCGTGTTTTGAGAGCTGTCGATGGTTCAAGGAAATGCAAAACACCGACAAGACAATAAATAACTTGTCGATAAGCCATGCTAAATTTTACTTTGTGAAAATAAAGTTAGATCGGGATAATTTATCATCTTTTTGTGATATCCAAGTAAATCAATGGTTAATTGTGAATGGAGTGAAGGGTGGAAGACTGGAAAACAGTCATCAGATGGGAAACTCTTTGGGGTGCAATGTTTATAGTTGAGTACATTGTTCATCAAAAAATCCTTTGATAATATGAGATCTACTATCCAATCTTGTGGTGTCTTCGGGTTATACGTTGTACTTATTCCTTGAATCGTTTTTAAAATCAAAAGTCATGTTTTAGGGTGAGACATTTCATGTGTGAACAATTTTTGTATTTTTCCTCCAGATATTTGCTACTTGTCCTGTTAATCTCAGTATTTTCACCAGTCTCGATTTGTTTTTTTGTCTGGATACATCGTTCGCCAGATGCTGTCATTTGTACATACAGATGAAATTAGTTTTTGTTTGCATGACAAAAGATGGTTAAAAGAGTTTCAATGTTAAAAAATGAGTAACATTTTGATTGGAAATGCTCAGTTGCAGTGTAAGAATGACTGAGTTCAAAATGCTAAACGATCAAGGTGAGCATTTAAGACAGTGACAACTTTCAGGTTCCTCCATTTCAATCTCCATGGACCCTTTTTCACCAGTCATTTTTTTCCCGTCTGGATCAAAACAGTGATTTAATCGAATTGAACGAGTTTTCATTCTAGATTCTCGGCAACAATTACATTTCTGGAGGAACAAAAATAAAAATGGTTTTAAATACATGGATACGCTGATTAATGATAAATTTATTATAACCTTAAGAAAACCACTTGAATGGACAACGCTTGGTTGCAATGATGAGACACAAGTTCCTTCACATTTGTTGACCAAGAAATCACCTTCACAAGACCTAATAACATTACCAGCCACGTCGAGCTCCTCTTTGATTACATGAATAGATCCAGGTAAAATGGCACAATTTTCATGGGCAACATCAATCGGCTCCAAGCAGAAACTAGAGTTAAACAAATTAGTCAAAGAAATTAAAGAAAAAATAAAGATTTTAAGAGCTGATTTCATTTTAGCAACTATAATGAGCTTCTTGGCCACAACTGAAATAGATTCAAAGGTGTTTCATCTAAAATAAATACTAAACAGAATTACATCATGTTTCGACATTGATCTTGGATTTTGGATTCATGAACATTTATTTTGTTTGGTCAAAGAACTAGAGAGTCACATTAGATTAAGAATTACAAGATATTTCCATTATATTGACTGTTTAAATGAATGTCCAGAAAGAGCTGTGTTCAAGATTAGACCAATTTAGACATTTACATGACTAAATAAATGTATCACTTTCCTGCAAATTAAAATCACTGTATTTACATCATTTTGTATTATTTACACAAATATCTTATGATCACAAAATAACCAGTTGATTTTGATTCAAAAAACCCAATTTTCACTTTCAAAAGTATTTCAAACCTTTTTTAACAGTTAACATCAGCTCACCACCAATAGTTTATGAGAGGATCGACTGTCCAAGTAATTCTTAATACATTGAAATAATTCTTATAAAATTTTGAATATTAATCATGATAAATAATTGACAATTAACAAATTAATTTTTTCTACTTACAATTAAGCTCTAAATTCAAAATCAGCCACTTAATATGATGGCTTGGGAGTCATAGCTACTAGCTATAAGCTGGTCATGTGTTTACAAACATTGTCTTCTTGAATCACTTTGTTTTGATACCGACAAGTCTTTTGAGCTTCACTGTTCTTTAATTTTTATATTTATCAAATCATTGTCAAGCTCATTGTTGGATTAATTTTCGTTAATTCGTCCATTAAATTTTCGAATCTGTTGCTGTTTAATTTCACCCATTTATTTTCCAATTTTGCTATCTTTTTGGATCATCGTTGAATGAGCTGATTGAAATCACCTTTGGTTAGTACACGTAAATTACCTTTTTTTATACAAACTGAATCTTTAAAATTTATACTGAATAATCATAACTACAGCAGTTTATCATTATCGTTTAGTCAAAGAATTAATATGTCATTATTATATTTGTGTTTTCTTATCTGCTTTTCTTTCTTTAACAGCTGACTTTAACTTGGCTTTCGTGAAATAATATTAAGAAGATATGAATCCAATTGTAAACTAAATAATTCCTGGACTCATCTTATAATTCGTCTGAGGATCAACCAGGTGCCTGGTAATACCAGATAATTTATTTACATCACATAAATCATGATAAGGACTGGTATCAAATCTTTTGTCGACTCATTTTCTTATCCAATATTGAATAATTATTCAAAGATTTTGAAGTTGAATGTTTCACCTCATGTTAACCTGTTGAGACCTATTGCTGGCATATCACATTTTCGTTGCACCAATTCAAAGCAGTCATGGTCAGCTTCTGAGATAAATCACATAAGTGGCTCATCTCTGAAATTAAATTTCGTCTACGGTCCGGAGATAGTCCCATGTAGAGAGATACAAACTACTACAACTGGAAAAACAAGTCCCTTATTACATGTTAACCTTTTAACCACAAGAATGAATGAAAATACGATGAATTCCTTTCATGACCGCCGCTGTTTTAGTAATGATGTTAAGCCTGAAGAGAATATCGATACTGAAAAGTTAGACCGAAAGGATAAGAAAGGTCGATTTAAAGCATTGATACGTGATTATGGTGTAACCGCAGTAGTCTTCCATGTAACCATTTCATTGGCATCTCTCGGAGTCTGTTGGCTGTTGGTAAACAGTTCATTACCTATGGAAGATATATTTGTTTGGCTTGGAATACATCAAAAGCTTGGAAGTTTAACCGAAGCAGCGTCAACGTCAACTAATTTTGTCGTCGCCTATGCACTCCATAAAAGTTTTGCTTTGGTCAGATTATCCATTACAGCCGCTTTTGTTCCTATACTCGTTAGGTTTTTAAGATCAAAAGGTATCATTAAACCCGTTGCTAATGTGATTAAAAAGTAAATAACAAATTTGGTGATAATCTATTGGTATTGAGCAAACTCTCCGATTGTAATTTAGATGGGAAATTTCAGTCAATCATAGTTTTCAAGTGTAAAATTTCTTATAAGTTAACCTGTTTCAAAATTTTAATAAAAGATGATGGAGGAAAAAATACCTTGCCAGTATTCAAGATTGAGGTATTTTTTAAATTAATCACATAATATTTGCGTAAAATCACGCTCGTGAGGCTTAACAGCCTATTTATTTGGTTTGTTTATCAGTTTTGCTGGTTTGTCTTTTACTCCATACCTATTTCATGGTTGGATCTTGTTAAATTTCAGTGTTTTTATTTCAATGATTGATATTTTTAAAAAGATCGTCTTGATTGGATACTGATTTAAAAGTCTTGTTAGTTGTGTTCTTATAACTACCGTAAGATGGATAGCAGTGGTCTCTCTTGTTGTTTTACTCTTTGGTACTCATTGAACTTGTTGTGAATACATTGTACTCCGAACAGTCTTGTGTTATGAAAATATAAGTTTCTGGAATTGAAATATTAGTCAATTTAGTTTCTCTATAACTTCAACCTCAAGATGAATATTGCTCGTATTAGCAGACTGACTTCGTCAACTCTAAGTAAGTAATTTTTGTTTTGTTTTTATTTTTACCTAACATGTTTTTTTTGTTTTCTTCTAGATATCACTTTTAACTCTATCCGATCTTACTCGTCGGCAGAAGAAAGATTATCTTGTTATAATATTAATGAGGCAGTTAAAGTTTCTGAGTCTGGTGAACGCATTTTACATGTTGAAATCAATAGACCCAAAACCCGGAATGCCATCAACACGGATGTTTTCAATGGTTTGACTCATGTATTCGGAAAGCTTAATGATGATAGACACTACCGTGTAGCTATTTTATCATCTGTTGGTGATTTTTTCTGTTCTGGTATCGATTTGAAAACCTTTCAAAGTTTTGTGCCAACCCACACTGAAGATGTTGGTCGTAAAGCTCTTGCATTGAGATCTGTCATCAATATGTTACAAGATTCTTTCAAAAAAGTATCGGTTTGTCAGAAACCAGTCATATCCGTAGTCTCTGGTGGTTGTATTGGAGCTGGTTTAGAATTAATATCTTTAGCAGATATTCGTTATGTCACCAAGGATAGTTATTTTACCATTAGAGAAGTCGAATTAGGACTGGCTGCTGACTTGGGTGCTCTTCAATTCTTACCTTTGATCATGTCTAATCAAAGTGTTTTAAGAGAATTGACTTATACAGGACGTAAAATATCTGCTGATGAAGCTTTAAACCTTAATCTGGTTGGCAAAGTACTATCTGATAAGGATGAGGCAATCTCATCAGCAATCGAATTAGCAACAACTATTGCTTCAAAAAGTCCTATCGTAGTTCAAGGCGCTAAAGTTGGTCTTGATTATTCAAGAGACCATGGAGTTTGGGAAGGACTACAATTCATGGTTCATTGGAATATGGCTATGTTACAATCAGAAGATTTAATCAAATCAGCCATGGCTCTTATGTCAAAATCACCAGAACCACCCAAGTTTGACGACCTGTAAATTTTTTGCTTAATTTTATATCAAATGCAAACATTATTTTTTAGTTTAGGAAAAATTATACGGAAATTTATTGTTAACTATGTTATTCCTACTTATTACGCTATTCCATAAAGATTATACTAATCTTCGAAGAAAATACACAATCATTTCATTTGTTATTTTAATTGATGTATCATTTGTACCTGTTGATACAATAAGCTCATCTGTTGTCTGAAATTTCAAATTTTATAATAACTATTTATATACTATACCAACATTTACTTAATTTATTTAATAAACATCTAAAGCTTTCGATATTATATAAACTGTGACAATTGACTTCATATAGCAAAGTTCATTTCACTCTTGAAACTTGTTTGAGTAGTTGCGATGATTGCTAATTCAGCATTTTAAGAGGAGTTTTATGGCGCTAAATTCAGATCAACTTGAAACTTTGAAGTCTTATTATTCTTAAAAATGTCGTTTTATTTAAAAATTTTAAACGACCAATATTAGAGTGTATTATAAATTATTATTCAAACAAATTAAATCAAATATGAAATAACCGTAATTTACATAAGACCCCTCAACCAATGTTTCCTTATCCGCCATTAGACAGGCATGGTTTTCACGGTTGTGTTGTATAGAAAGATTTGTGTTTAGAAGAGGTGTTTCTATCAACCATCCTTTGTTTTGATTATTTAACAATCAGTTTCATTTAACTAAATTGTTACTCATTTTTCGTCTGAAGTTAAATTTAATAATTTACAAATTTTTACAATATGTTAGAAAAAGAAACTAAGGAAAAAGATTCAACAACTGATTCAGAATCAGAAGATTCAGTTCCAGAGTTGGAAGATGCTCCAGAGGAAGGAGGTGAAGCCAAAACCGGCACTGTTTCGGGTCTCGGTGATGATGCCGCTAGTAAGAGTAAACAATCCCGAAGTGAAAAGAAAGCAAGAAAGGTGATGTCAAAGTTGGGTTTGAAACAAATTACCGGTGTTAGTCGTGTTGCAATTCGCAAAAGTAAGAATATCCTGTTCGTAATTAACAAGCCTGATGTGTATAAAAGTCCTGCCTCTGACACCTATATCGTTTTTGGTGAAGCCAAAATTGAAGATCTTAGTCAAAAGGCCCAAATGGCGGCAGCCGAAAAATTCAAGACTCCTGATGCATCATCTATCCTCAGTGGAGCTGGAGCTTTGGGCGAAGCTGGTGCTGGCCTTGGAACAACAGGACAAGGAACAGGAGCCAGTGCTACTATAGACGACGTAGAAGATGAAGAAGTTGATGAAACTGGAATCGCCGAAAAGGACATTGAATTAGTTATGAGTCAAGCCAATGTCAACAAGAGTAAAGCAATTAAGGCTTTGCGTGAAAATAACAATGATATTGTCAATGCTATTATGGACCTAACCATGTGATTTTTGTAAATTGATCCCTTTTGAGTTGATAAACTTGATTGACTGAATTTCAACCGTTTTTCCGTCCATTATTTCCCTAAGACAATCAGTTTAACAATTTATCCAATCAATGTAATTGGTGTCCGGCCATTATTGACCATAAAGTTAAAATATTGGCTGAAAAATTGGTAACAGTTTCTATCTTTTACAAGATCTTTTAATTGAAAAGATATACAATAATTTTCTTGATTATGATATTTTAATTGCTCTTGAAATAGGCATCAATTTTCAGATCAATAGATAAGATTTTTTATCAATTTTTTTGGTTATATTAGCAATTATCATTCAGTGTTGAGCTTTGTGGTCAATGATAGCCAAATACTCTTCAGATGCATTTCAATGCATTTATTCACAAAATATAAAATTTACTTTTCTAAATGTTTCAATAATACCCAATTTCACCGGTCAATTCACCGAATGAAGGTTATATAATTTATTCAATTAAGTTTTCGGTTGTAAGAATTTCTTCGTTACTGATAAATAATGAGTATTTATGAGGCACTTGTTCAATGAACGTACATTTTTACTGACTTAAGACTTTTGATTCGGTTTTTATTTTAAATTTGAATATTTTTCAATACAATGCACAGGCAAATATTGGCTCTTAATTAAACTATACATTGGAACGTTAAATTTTAATAAGAATTGAATTGTCTTGCTGAATATGATCTAAATCATCTTCAATCATTGTCACATTAATTGATTCAATTTCTCATCTTCCCAGTGGGTTGTTCATGAAGCCTGTTAAATTGATTACACATATTTTTAAAAAGAAGTTCTAATGAACTTAAAATGAAAACTGAGGTTGACAGAATTTTAAGCATCAGAAAAAATTGATAACACGCATGTGTCAACCAATGTTTGGTTTTTATTAGATTTACGTTGAAGAAACTGCATAATTTGATCCTTGTTGATTATATTTTAATCATAACGCATTAAAGTTTTAGTTCATTTATTGTGAATATTTATATCTTGGACTAATCATGTTGCGATTGATTCAAAAACTCAAGGTAAATTGTTTTAATTTGCTAAATTTTCAAGATTCATTCTTTAAATGCCTTTTCTTTTTCTCATTCTCTTCATCATCTGAATGTTTTTCATGATTTTCTTCTATTTGTTCATCTTTGTCCTTGCATTTGTTTTTTATAGCTTAATAATGTCAGCTATTTCAAAGAAATTCCTAAAAACCAACGGAGAAATGTGCATATCTCTGGTGAAAAGAGAAAATGTTTCCCTAAATCAGCGGCAATCTCTAAAGATTATCCAGTTATTGATCATACATTTGATGCTGTGGTGGTTGGAGCTGGTGGAGCTGGACTTCGAGCAGCATTTGGATTAGTTGAAGAAGGTTTCTCGACCGCTGTGATTACTAAATTGTTTCCAACTAGAAGCCATACAGTTGCTGCTCAAGGAGGTATTAATGCTGCTTTAGGTAACATGGAACCTGATGACTGGAGATGGCATATGTATGATACTGTTAAAGGATCAGATTGGCTTGGTGATCAGGATGCTATTCATTATATGACCCGAGAAGCTCCACATGCAGTTGTTGAGGTTTGATTTATTTAACCTATTAGATTTATAATTTGCCTAATTTAATTTTTTTCAAACCAGCTTGAAAATTATGGTATGCCTTTCAGTCGAACTGACGATGGTAAAATTTATCAAAGGGCGTTTGGAGGACAATCATATAATTTTGGCAAAGGTGGTCAAGCTCATCGATGTTGCTGTGTTGCTGATCGAACTGGACATTCTCTGCTTCATACACTCTATGGTCAATCATTGAGGTATGATTGCAAATATTTCGTTGAATTTTTCGCCCTTGACTTACTTATGGAGAATGGTGAATGTCGTGGTGTTATTGCTGTTAATCTTGAGGATGGTACATTACACAGGTTCAGAAGCAAGAATACGATTTTAGCTACAGGGTGAGTAACTTATATTGTTTTACTCAAAGTTTCCATGGATCATCTAATTAGTGACTAAAAATTGAATGGTCACTCAAGCAAACAGTTTTATTTCTTATACACATTATCATTGATATTATTTTTACTAATTTTTATACTTATCGTTGCTAAAGAGGATATGGTCGAGCCTACTTTTCCTGTACATCAGCTCATACATGTACTGGTGATGGAACAGCCATGGTTTGTCGAGCTGGCCTTCCTTCAGAAGACTTAGAATTTATCCAATTTCATCCAACAGGAATTTATGGAGCTGGATGTTTGATCACTGAAGGTAAACATATTGATTAAACTTTCAATTTTATTATCTGATTTTATATCTGATTATATTGTTACATTATTTATCATTCAGGCTGTCGTGGTGAAGGAGGTTTTCTTGTAAATTCGGAAGGTGAACGATTCATGGAAAGATATGCACCTGTGGCCAAAGATCTTGCATCTCGAGACGTTGTCAGTCGATCTATGACTATTGAAATTCGTGAAGGCCGTGGTTGTGGTCCAGAAAAAGACCATGTATACCTTCAATTACATCATTTGCCTGCTGAACAATTGGCAACACGACTTCCAGGAATTTCAGAGACTGCAATGATTTTTGCTGGTGTTGATGTCACCAAAGAGCCTATTCCCGTTCTTCCAACTGTTCACTATAATATGGGTGGAGTTCCAACTAATTACAAAGGTCAAGTTATTACTTATGATGAGAAAAACGGTGATAGAGTTGTTCCTGGTCTTTACGCTGCTGGAGAAGCTGCTTGTGCGTCAGTACATGGAGCTAACAGATTGGGTGCTAATTCATTATTAGATTTAGTTGTTTTTGGCCGAGCTTGTGCTAAAACTATTGCGGAGGAAAACAAACCTGGAGAAACAATCGGAGATTTGAGTATGAACGCTGGTGAACAATCAGTCGCTAATCTTGATCGTATCAGGCATTCCAAAGGAACTACTCGCACTGCAGCTTTACGGCTTAACATGCAAAAAGTAATGCAAAATAATGCTGCAGTTTTCAGAAATGGTGAAATTCTTTCAGAAGGTGTAAAAAAGATCGACGAATGCTTCGAACAACTCCCTGATATTGGAGTAAGTTATCGATATTATTTATCTTTAAGTCTATCATCATATTGAAAATTTCAATTTGTCTAATATTATTTTCTACTTTTATTAATTTTTCATTCACAGTTAAACGACAAAGGTATGATCTGGAATACTGATCTGATTGAAAGTTTAGAGCTTCAAAATCTAATGTTGAATGCTAGAATGACACTTTACAGTGCTGAAGCTCGCAAAGAATCTCGAGGAGCTCATGCTCGAGAAGACTTCAAAGAACGTATCGATGAATATGATTATTCTAAACCTTTGGAAGGTCAAGTAAAGAAGCCTTTTGACCAACATTGGAGGAAGCATACATTATCATGGATAACTCCTGAAGGCAAAGTTGTATTAAAGTATCGACCTGTCATTGACGAGACTCTTGATGAGCAATGTCAAACAGTTCCTCCCGCTATCCGAGCCTATTAATAAGTTATTACAGTTTTGTTAGATTAACATCGGATGATGAATAAAAAAATTCTGTGAACATAACAAGAGCAAAATATAACCAAAATGAAATAAATTATATTCATAGTTTATAAGACACACCAGGCATCAGCTCTTATGTAAATTTGGCTTATTATATTTATTTAAATCCCTTCCCTCCAATTATATCAGCCAAGAACCGACTGATTAAATTTCAAACCTCTTATTTCTACAATAATAACCATTACAACAGTTTTATCATTATTTTACAGCAACAACAAAAAAAGCGTTCAAATATTTTTTACACTCGCGATTCTTATGTAAACTTTTTATTAACACTAACAGGATATTTTCATTTACCACTCAATTGATTTAAAGTGTTTAAATTTCCTAACTGTTACAAAAATCGCTCTCAAATTGTTCCAACAAAAAGAGCTCACGGTTCATTGAAACAGACTTCACTCTGAACTGTACAATTTAATATGATAAGCAAACTTTCATTATCAACTTGATGGCCATGATTTTGATCATTACTGCAGACGAAGATGATAATTGTCACTATTATTGTTACCATCATCATTTAAAAAGATGGATAAATCGTTAAAAAAGGATAAACTTTCGCTACGGTTTCAGATCATTGAAATTTAGTGTTCACAAACCCAATACATGTTAATACTTGGTGAACAAGCAAACACTCAACTCACCACCAAACCCTTTCCATTCTCCCTCTTTTCTCTTTTTTATCATCATTTCTTCTTCACTCTCAACGACACCAATTATTCTGGTCGTGTGTTTATATTTATCAAAATAATTTGATATCCAAAGCTAGCTGAATCAACCAGATAATCAATAACGAAACCACACTTGCTGAATAAGCTGACTCGACTTGATAAAGTTGTGCTCATTTAGATTATCAAAGATTATGGATTCAAGTAATTCATCACAACAACATAATCGCCTTGTTTCATTAAATTAAATATAGATAAGATTCGATTCATGGCTTACCGACCTACCCCGAGTTGTCATTAAAACCATCTTTGTTTACAATTAGCGTGTAAAATTGATCAGTAGGTTGATTGTGAATTGTGATAAAACTTGGCAACAACCATCAATATCCATTTTTATTATCATAAAATGGTGAAGGTAAAAATCATATAACATTTGAATGTTGGGGAAATTTGATTCCTTTGCATCTTTGCTATTAAACTATAACAAATGTATTTGATTGTTTCTAATCGTCATTCACAGAGATTGATTCTGTAGACAAAGAATTACAATTTTGTTTGTATTTAACTGTTAATCAGCTGTTGGCTCTGTGAGATGAAGGTTTACAGTATCTAAAAATAATTGTAATAACAGTTATATGTTTCACTATCTCGCTATGATACATGAACATGTTACACTTGTCATCTCAAGATCTTTGAAGCGACGAATTAAGCCTATTTAACGATCACAATTACAGTCATTACCAATCATCCGTAATTTAAGAGACTCAATTTCATCATGAACGCTATCATCGCCATCATCTTTATCCCTTTCTTGAATCTATCTTAAATATCTTTCAATAATTGTAACTCATTCATGGTTCAAATGTTATTACCTTTTTTTTGTTGCAGTGTTAACATTATACTTTTTTGTTCATCTAACTACAAAAGACGATAGGAATGGTGATCATAATGATGATTCTGATGATTGACTTGTTATCCTGTTTTAAAATGATCACCATTACCTTATTTAATATTGTTCAAGTCGCCAAATTTTGTGTTATCATTTTCTGTAAACAAATTGTTCCCATTATATGATTAGTTGTGTTATTGAATTGGAAAGAAAAAGTGAAGCAACAATTGTTTTTGTTTTTAAATTGTAATGATGATTGAAATTTTGATTGTGAGCGAATTACAAATTAAAAAATGAAGGAGAGCAAAAAAAGAAGAGTTAATTGTAACATTATTATGAAAACAAAATTATATAAGCTTTTACATCAATTTATCATTATCATTCAATATTAATTGTTATATTTAAAATTAAGGTTTTTGGATTTTGTCACATTTTGGTGGTTTTATTGAATAGCCAAGGCAAAGCTATTGAAGTAAAAAAAAAGTTAATCATCTCGACATTTAATCGATCACATTGAGAAAAAAATTGCAAATGAATTAATTTCCTATTGAAATTATTTCACACCAATCAAGCTTTTTAAAAGTCCCGGTTGGTAATTTAAAAAATTAGAAGATTGAAAGTTAATCAGCATCTCTTAGGTCCACAATTTATCAACAGCATCATCACTTTGTCAATGATTTAGAGCCAGTGGCCAGAAGTAAAAGGATGCGGTGATTTGGTTGAGGTCACATTGCGAAGAGAGAGAGAACACAAGAGCAAAAAATGAACATACCATTAACTATTAGATTAATAATAACTAGAATGGTGCAAAGTATGGAACTGGAATCAATTGTGGATATTCTTGGGCGATTGTCTGTTGAACTTTACTTTCCGATGTTTTAAGGTCACCAGGTTGGGGTACATCAACAGTGTTGCTTGATCCAGAGTCTTCCCTACCGGTGAGTCGATGAAGAGTACCGACAACTACTCTTGAATTTGTTAATCGTTTAGTGATTGAAGCAATCCTTTTACGAAGTTCTTGTTGTTGTTCTTGGTTACGCCGAGCCCAATTAGATCTCATGGTTCGAAATACATTTCCTAAAAATTCGCTAGCTTGTTGAATTTGATTAGAAGCTGTTGAGATTGGAAGTAAAGCATTGAAATTGGCAATTGAATTAGCAAGTGCTGATGAACCAGAGGCTCCGGATAAGGCAGATCCAGCTGCTGAGGCTGCTGTTTCGATTGCATTTGAGGCTGACATTGACATTCCTCCGTCAGCAGAATTGGCAGCCGCATTAGCAGCAGCATTTGCAGCAGCGTTAGCAGCAGATGAACTACTAGCTAGTCCAGAGGCTGCTCCAGCGGCACCACTGATGGCCGAGGCTCCTGGTCGACGGAAGGCTTGAGATACAACTGAAGGTATTAATCGAGTGTTTGTAATGTATTTAACTGTACCAGAGACAAAGTTGCGAACAGCATCTCGAACCGAGCCACCTAATTGACGTTCAGCGGTATCATCATAATCTTCATCATCGTCATCATCTAGTCCTTCCATTCCTTCCATGTTATCCGTAGATTGACAGTGAATTCGTGCGAGGAGAGCGAAAAATGTTAATAAAAGCTAGAACAGAAAGAAACAAAATAATCAAATGTTAATTTGCTTCTTAAATAACTTGAAGATATTCAAACTGAAGACAGGTCCATGGTAAAAAGCAAAAGGCCAATAATGTTGACCGTGATCATTTTACCCAATCTAATGACTTTATATTTTTAATCATGAGAAATGTAGGAATCACATTTACATTAGATTGTTAAAGTTATTACAAATAAAAATCTGTGACTGACAGATTTGTTAGCTTTTTTGTCTTTAGATATTGTCTTTTGCCTTTTATATGGACAGCTAAGAGAGGAGAACAACTTTTACTCCAAATCAAAGACGATATCTTTAAATTGAATAATGGTTCAACGAATGTCACTGATTAAGCTGCTATCAGTAAATCAATAGTCTGATGAATTAATCACAGATATTGATCACTGAAAAGTCGTTAAAAATAGTCTGTTATCAACTATTTTATAAAACAAGAAGAGAAATGGCGCAATTATCAAACCAAAATAAAGTTGACCAAAAAAATATATTACTCAATTATTGTCTATTAGTTAAGAAATTAGAGTTCATTTAAGTTAATCTGATGTCAAATAGTGATCTTAAACAGCGATCTTTTTTTAGAGACGCCACCAAAAAAAGTGAACATTAGAAGCAGTAAAATTGAAGAAAAAAGTTGAATTAAAATTAGCATGAAAAGCACCATGTTTTGATAGCGGTGAAACCAGATAACCAGAGTAGCTAACTGTTTTAAGCTAATTCGTGGGCTCAATATTAAAACCAGATATTGTAGTCAATTTTAATCATGTTAGACAAGTTTTCCTGCTAAAAGTGTATTAACGTTATAAATGATGGCAAAGAAAAAAAAATGATATTATTTGGAACAAATCACTCATCATGATTATAATAAAGTCAACTCAGAGTGAAGGTCAGAATGAAAAATGCAAGATGAAAATAAATGTTGCTGTTGTTGTTTTTGTTGTTACTTGGACTGATTATCAAGTAATGATAATATAATATTTTGAGATGATGTTCACTTTAATAGGATTGATATGCTTTTATACACAGTTATTAGGATGCTCAATTCAAGCCCAATGGATTGGAACTTGAATGATCCGGCTTTCAGATAAAGCTACAAGCGCTATTCAACACGCACCATCATCATCATCCCAAACATCACCTTCATCTTGAAACGACCCTTCAAGTCAATATTTTTGATGCACAAACTGATGCACAAATCTCACCAATCTTGATCCTAATACTGAATCTCGGTTAAGGTTTAATCTGTAGTCAACAACACCTAATTACGGTTTTATCTGTAACATCATTATAACCATAATCATCTTGACTGTTAATCAGTTGATCAACTCAAATCTTAATTCAACATTTTGTAAAACCATCAAATCAATTGTGATCAACAATAAACCAGAAAATCGTCTCTCAATGTAACTCCATAATTTGGGTTTTGCAAAACAAATCATTCAATTGGATTTTTAATCGTTTAGTTTTTTGGTTTATCTTTTAATTTTACGATTTTATTGTTGATTAAAATTCCGTTAAATTTATTGATTGTTGAATGTTTGTCTGTAAATCAATCTAAATCTGGTATATTAATAGGTACAAATCAGTTTAAAGTTACCCTTGCACTTGCTCTTGTTTAGTTAATAACAGTCTAATGAGAAGTCTTTGAAAATTGATTGATTTCAACGGGTTTCTATTACATTTAACTGTTTACATTAATCATAAACTTGATTATGTATTGTTATTAATACCTTTGATTGTTTACTTTTGTTGACACATTCAACTGATTGAACCTAAATTTGGGTTCAACCATTTCATTTGCTTTTCACTGGCTATTTCAAACTAAATTAAATTGATTACTTTAACGGGTGGAGTTGCCTATTATATGTTAGTAATGAGAATAATCATCATCTTAATAATAGAAATAATCAACATAAATTGTGATTTAGATTGGTAATGGTTTCACTTTAAATCGGGTTAATTGTTTTATTTCATTTTGTCTTTTTACCTTTTTTTTGATTCAGTCCAAATCAAGATGAAATCAATAAAATACCAATCAGTTGATTGTATTCCATTTAATTTTAAACACTTTAAGCTAACTAAAAAATATAATTGCAGTTGAGACAAAAAGATTTCATTTTAAGACCAAAATGTGATGCTTTGAAAAAATGTATTCCAGTAAAATTGGAAATACAGTTTTATATGCATTCAAAGGTTACAAATGACAAACATTGATCAGCTCTTAATTGTATTCCTTTGAGACAATTAAAACCAATTTTGATTTGATTTTTCATCTCACAATTGAACATTTAAACTCTAATATGAAAAATTGTATCCCAAAATATGGGTTAAATAGGATTGGGTTAGGATTTTTGGGTAAAGTGAAAAGGATTGAAACTCACCAAGATCCAAAATTTATTCATCTTAAAGGTTAATTTTTGATTGGCTTTCGGGTGGAAGATTAAATTATAGTTAAAATGTCAACTAGTCACTAGGAGATTCCTTAATAGTAATTAGAGACAACTTGAAGATGTAAACATACAATGGTGATGATAAAGATGATTCTGATTCGAGATGGGAATCAAAAATGAAAGTCCTTTGAATACACAATGAAATAAATCACAACGATATAATGAAGATGGAATGAGATGAAAAATTAAAATTGAATAGTCATTTCAATGAAGAGACAATTGATGGTATAAACAGAGATGAAGTTTGGTTGATGAAGGTGAAATTGATGAGCTCAAGTTGAGTGGATGAAATGATCGGTTGAAGTGATGTTGATGTTGATGTAAAACGGTGTGATGTTGATGTTCAACTTTGTTGTCGACACTTTCATATTCAGCCTTTACTTAACGAACTTGATCTTGTAGGAAAGGTAAAAAATGGTTGTTGAAGGAGGGAATTAAAGGTTGATAAATGAGCCCAGGGCGGTGATGAACATGATCGGAGAGGCATTTTGTGATGAGGCCTGAATAAGGATGAAAGACGCACATCAGAATGTGAATGATCTTGACACACCTTTTGACAATTGCTTTGAATAATAATAAATTAAATCAGATAAAATGAGAGAGAATTTAATTTGTCAACAAAAGCGATATTTTTGGGTGATTCCTTGCGATCAAGTTATACTTGATATGAACCTTACCTTATTGCTGTTGCTGTTGTTTATGTTTTTCATGTTTTTTGGTCTTTTTCAATCAATTTTGACGTGTTTAAGATTAGTTAATGTTGAGTTATCAATAATTTTATAATGACACAATTATCATTACCATTAACATGAGTCTCGATTAAATTAGCCGATATTTACCTTTTATGATTTCTGTATACAACTTTTGAAACATTGTTATCCAATAATTCACTGACCTCTGAAGTTAACTCTTTATTTGATTTCAATTTTTGCTGGATGATTAATGGCTTGAATGAATTTTGATTCCTGTTCGCATCATCTTTCAACTGTCTGCTTTTTGTCACAGCTAAACAGTGAATCAGATCTGCACATTTAGACAATTATTTTGTTACACCAATATATTATATACACTCCTGCTCATAATCATTGATATACCTGTAACATCTGTATTTATAATTTTAGCGAATTTAATCAAATTTAGTTTACAGTAAGAGCTGAGATAATGGGACTCTCTTGGAATAGCTTATTTACACTATTTGCCGGGCAGCGTTTTTTCATCATTTCAATCTTCCTTGATCGATCAAATTCAACAGAAATAATTATGGTCAAGAGTTTATATTACAGTATAAGAGTTTTTTACATTTTTGTTACACTGTCATCTATGTGAGCTACAGGGGGAAATAATTGAGTTTACAACTTAAACAATTAGTCCACTCTAATGACCCCTGAAGGGAAAGGGTTGAAAGGCTGAAGGGGCATCACTAGACTGTATTGTAATATACACGAATATAACTTTCAATTATCAATTACACTTTTCGCGCATATTGCTACCGGCGTTTTTTGATACTTTTTATTAGTTATCATTAGATAGAACCATTTTTACCGAATTTAGTTTTAATTTAATTTTAAACTTTAAATTTTTTCTTAAATTAAGATTTGATTCACTGTTTCAATCACCTTTGAGTCAATTTGAAAAAGCCTTTCAGATCGTTAGTTACAATTTGCATTCATCTTATAATTTATAAATTTAAAAGCTCGATTAAAGTTTGGATAATTTGCGCAATTCCAATGTTATTATCCATAAATTTCAGATTTTGATACTTATAAAATCAAACAATCATAATTGTTAGCAATTAGATTTGAGCATTTGATGATTTGACAGTAAATTGAAAAATTTAAGAGGTTTTATGAATTGACAAAATTTTTTATCATAGCGAGCATTTACTTTCGCTCAAAGCGAAAGCTTGTTAAAGAGAGAAAAAAGAAGGATTAGTTGAAAGATGATTAGCACAATTTTATGTTAAACGACGTTGAAAGATGGCAAATGACGAAGAAGCAGTGCGATCAAGTAGAGCATAAATTTAAAGTGAAGCGGGAAAAGCTATTTTTCTAATCATCCGGGCTGAGAAACGTATTGATGATAAAATGTTGGATGTACATGATGAAGATAATGGTGATACAAAGTTTATTTTTTCATCAATAATAATGTTTATATCGTCATTAAAACAGGAAAAGGGTCGACAAACGTCAAACACTCTTTTTGTTTTCTATATTGACATCGATGCTTAGATTCTCATGACTATACTTAATTACAATTTACTTATTTTTACACAACAAACGAGTCTAATTGTAAATGATGGGTCAATTAGGATAAATTAAAAGAGTCAAGAATCCTTGCGATGATTTACTTCTATCAACCATTTTTCATTATCATTATCTTTATTGATCACTTTTGTTTAAATAATTGTGCGCGCTTTGAATAATAAATTCACCAATAGCAATTAATCGCTTCTTACATTTACATGTACAATCGCATAGATCGAATATATTGGTGTATTCAATTAAATTTAAACATTTGTTGTTATCTCAATAGTCAGCTAATTATGTTGTAATATTACAAAAATTATGCCACTTAGATCATTTAATCTTGAATTTCCATCTTAAATTTTTCAACCTACCGTCAAATCATATAATTTTTAAATCATCAATTGTTAACAATCAATTGACTCGATTTAATGAATATCAAAATCTGAAATTAATGTCAACAACATTGAAATTGTCAAAATCAAATAAATTCAGTTTTTAAATTATAAAATGAATGCAAATTGAAACTATCAATCGGAAAGGCTTCTTAAAATGGACTCAAAGGTGATTCCAACAGTGAATCAAATCTTAATTGAAGACAAAATTACTTAAAGTAAAAGTTGGACTTGAAACTAAATGCGGTAAAATGACTAATGAATTTATGCCAAATTACAGGGTGTAGCGAAAGTTCGTGGAGGCAAAAATACATTTCCCCCTGCTTTTGATTCGCTCTCAAAAGTTCATTTTGTCGATGCTTTGTCAATTTTGATCCCGCCCACCCACACGAACTTTCGCTACACCCTGAACTGACTATAAGTCGCCTTGGTCGACTTTGACCAAAGCTGATAGTTTTGCGAATATTAGAATTCGAATACAAGTAGGTATTAGACTTAAGTTAACAAAATTGGAGCTTTTTTCATAGTCGCCGTCTAACAGTGAGTTAAGGTACCTTTAACATCGAATTTAATTTTGTCCATTTCTCTATTGTCTAGTTTCTCTAAAACTAATTATGACCGAGATGGCGACACATGAAAATTAACTTAAGTCTGGCCCTATTTTGTTAACTAAACCCTAATACTTACTGTACTCATTCGAGGGTCCTTTGAATATTCGCAAGTGACTAAAGTACAAAATGTAAGAGACTAACCATAAAAATTGATGATCACATGATATTGAGTCGACTTAGACGATATTCGATGAACGTATCGACTTAAACTTAGTCGAAATTTCATCGTATGACTGGTACATCGACTAACTTCGGCGTGCATAAAAAGTATCAACAAACACCTGTAGAAATACAAGCAAAAAGTGTAATTGACAATTCAACTTTTTGCTTGTATTCATACACCTATTAAATAACAAATTGATGTTGTTGTAACAAACTGGTATCAAAACGATCAATATAATTGTCTAAATGTGCAGATCTGATTCACTGTTTAGCTGTGACAAAAAGCAGACAGTTGAAAGATGATGCGAACAGGAATCAAAATTCATTCAAGCCATTAATCATCCAGCAAAAATTGAAATCAAATAAAGAGTTAACTTCAGAGGTCAGTGAATTATTGGTGAACAATGTTTCAAAAGTTGTATACAGCAATCATAAAAGGTAAATATCGGCTAATTTAATCGAGACTCATGTTAATGGTAATGATAATTGTGTCATTATAAAATTATTGATAACTCAACATTAGCTAATCTTAAACACGTCAAAATTGATTGAAAAAGACCAAAAAACATGAAAAACATAAACAACAGCAACAGCAATAAGGTAAGGTTCATATCAAGTATAACTTGATTGCAAGGAATCACCCAAAAATATCGCTTTTGTTGACAAATTAAATTCTCTCTCATTTTATCTGATTTAATTTATTATTATTCAAAGCAATTGTCAAAAGGTGTGTCAAGATCATTCACATTCTGATGTGCGTCTTTCATCCTTATTCAGGCCTCATCACAAAATGCCTCTCCGATCATGTTCATCACCGCCCTGGGCTCATTTATCAACCTTTAATTCCCTCCTTCAACAACCATTTTTTACCTTTCCTACAAGATCAAGTTCGTTAAGTAAAGGCTGAATATGAAAGTGTCGACAACAAAGTTGAACATCGACATCACACCGTTTTACATCAACATCATCACTTCAACTGATCATTTCATAGCCGTAACCCGTAAATACTTCTGAACATAAACTATATCTAACAAATCCGCGCTCACCATAACCATCATCAGTATGAAAAAATTGATTAGAAAGTAATAATACACCGAATTGTGGATAAAAATATGTTTCAATAGAGATAAGTTGTAAACATCGTTATTCTTCAAACTTTAATTTGAATCAATCGGTTCAATATTAATTGATTTTAACAATTAATATTTCTCTTATTTCTTTATTGCAGCCAACTCCTTGGCCTGATGAGCTTGCAAAACAGCAACGGCTTCTTCCACTTTAGCTCGTAATGACTCATGATGTTCCAACATGTGAAGTAGCTCTGAATTGTCAATGTCCAAAAGCATACCAGTGATCTTTCCGGCCAGCTCTGGGTAAAGATCATGAATTAGCGGGAAGAGTCGCTCACCCAGCATTTGTTTTTGTTCAGCTTCTGATGCGTTAGCCAGCATAGAAGCAGTGAGTGGTTCTTGTCCTTGTACATGGACCGCTGATTGAACATCTGATTGTGGTTGAACTTGTTGTGCTCCCATGTTAGCCTGTAATATAAAAACAAAATATATGAGAAATCAATCAATTGTTCCTTGTAATCGCATGTAGATTAGTTCAAAGATAGCATTTGATAAGTCAAACAAGTGAACTAACTATCGGCTTATGTAAAAGGGTTATATTCTTCCAATCTCTGAGGACCTGGAAGATTAGCTTTTACAACATCATCCAGGAGGGTGTTATTGGATATGATTATAGTCAGCAGATACAGTGATACAAACCGAGAAACTAGTTTCATATCAAATGATATCCGCTGAATATTCTCCTATAGATAGATCATGCAGAATAGTATTTACCTGAGGAGCCATTTGGACAGGTGGCGGGTTACGGATTTGAGAATTAAATTTATAGCTGCCCATAGCAGCTTGTCCAGCATTAGCAGCCCGGACGGAAGATGGTGGTACACCTCGAGGTGCTCCACGAGGTCCCATACCTTGAGGCATAGATTGAGCACCTCCGGTAATAGGTCTAGATCCGGCTGGACCAGATGATGTTGGGACTTGTGTTGGTCGAGGCCCTTGACCAGCAGCCATAGCTGGACCTCGAGCTCGCAAGGCTTGATTGTAAGGTTGTGGAGCACCACGTGGCATTTGTTGAGCACCAGGCCATCTTGGATTTCGCGCTTGTTGAGGTCCAGGGGCTGAGGGACCGCCTTGTGGTTGATAGTAGGAGCCACGCTGTTGCATTTGATGTGGAGCCATGGTTGGGATGTAGTAACCAGGCTGAGGTGCTCCTTGATGTCCTGCTTGGGGACCTGAAATATTAAAAAAGGTGTTAATAAAGTCATCATAAAAAAGAGATTGACGAGAAATTCATCTAACGATCAGAAAGAAACTATATTAATCCTGCAGGAGCAATAGAGCCCAATCATAGAATGGATTAGTTATCTCATCAGCGGGTGAAAAATTATAATAGTCAGGTCAAATCATGTGATCAGCATATTCAAAAATATGAAATATGTGATCGCATGAAAAGCAACGAGACATCAATCATATCAGTTAAAACTTACCAGCATTACCAAGAGCTCCGATAGAAGCCATGGCTGCTGCATGGTTGGGGAACATAGCAGCAGCTGGCGCCAAGTTAGGGTGATGATGGTGAGGGTGATGGGCATGAGGATGAGCTGCAGCTGCAGCTGAAGCTGGATTAGGAATTGGTGGCATTCTGATTCCTGTGGGCGAAAATGGAAAAAAAGATTAGAAGTTGAACATTTAACAATTGCAAAATATTGAAAATTTTAAGTAATCATCAGATCGAGCAGTATCATCAAGTGAGTCCAGCAACAGCGCTAGGGGGTTCTGCCAGGTAATCCTGACTCTAGCAATTGCTGGGCCCTACGAAAAAGCTATTTCATCATAAAGTCGCCTACAACGGAAAAATACTGCAATATGATTAATTGGAAACAGATGACTCACCTCCACCAACTCTTTGCATGTGTTGTGTAATGAGGTGAACTTTTCTCTCATCTTTTCTTTGTGCCAAAGCTACATAGAGAGGTTTAGATCCGACAATCCGATTGTTCATTTCGGTAACAGCCTTCGTGGCTTCTTCTGGAGCAGAAAAACATACGAAACCGAAACCTTTGCTTCTACCATTAGAGTCAGTCATAACCTTGGCACTAGTTATTGTACCGAAAGGTGAAAATTCCTTTCGGAGCCGTTCATCGTCAATGGTATCATCGAGATTCTTTACATAAAGATTTACTCCTTGATACCGATTCAGTCTTTCCATTTTGAGTTGTTCAAATCTACGTTTAAGCTCAGCTTGTCTCTCCGCCTTCTTTTGAGCTCGCCCAACATAGAGTGTTTTGCCCCCTGGCAATTCTTTTCCATTTAAATCATCAACGGCCTTCTCCGCTTGTTCCGGTTCTTCAAAGCTGACAAAACCAAATCCTTTGCCTTTGCCATTGTCGTCAGTCATAACTTTGCAAGAAACAACGTTACCGAAAGGTGAGAACATGTCCTTCAATTTTTCATCGGTGTCAATTTCTTCGCCAAAGTTTTTAACATAAATGTTGGTGAATCTTTTAGATTTCTCACCAATAATCTTTTCTCTCTCTTTTCTAGGTACGAAACGTCCGACAAATACTTTTTTTCCATTAAGCAACATAGAGTTTACTTTAGCAATAGCGTTTAGAGCTGATTCTTCGTTTTCAAAATGGACGAAACCATAACCTCGTGAGTTGCCTTCCTCATCAACAGCAACTTTACATGATAAAATGTTTCCGAAAGTGGAAAATGTGTCGTACATAACCTTATTATCAATGGATTTGTCAAGATTTTTTATGAAAATGTTTCCCACACCAGATTTACGAAGGGAAGGATCTCTTTGAGACCACATGATACGTATGGGTTTTCCGTTGATGACATCAAAATTCATAGTGTCCAGTGCTCTTTCAGCTAGACATAAAAAATGAGTCAGAAAATGAGAAAAAAATGAATAAGAAATAAAATATAAAACGAATGATCAGATAAAATAAAAATTTATAAACCCTATCTCTAAGAGCTAAAGTGTGATGCGTATTAAAAAACAAATAGGAAACCATGCTTTCTCTACATTGTGTTTGTGTAGAGAGGGAGAGCAAAAGAGAAAGAGGGAAAAGAATGATAACAGACAAAAAAGGTTACTTACCATCCGGAGGTTGTTGGAAGTTGACATAGGCATAGCCAAGCGATCGTCGAGTAATCATATCCCGACACACTCGTATAGACAGGACTGGTCCAGCACTCGAAAATTTTTCAAACAGTTGAGCCTCAGTAACATCTGGGGCTAAATCACCAACATATAGGGAGGCCATTGGGTAGCTTGGTCCAGCAGGATTGTTCATCTTTTTTGGTTTTTTTAGTTTTTACTCTTTTTTTAAATTTTCTATTTTTATAATTTTTTTTTATCTATTTTTTTATGGATTAATTGCGAATAAAATCTCCACCTATGGAATGTGGAGGGGAGATTGGGTAGAGAAACAGAGAAATAAAGAAAGAAGGAACAAGAGAAGAGGAGAAAAGGTTCTAATTTATAGAGAAAATGGAAAACATAAAACGTTTAATTTTTCTCCTTCTCTCTCCACTCTGCAATCAGCATCACCAAACGTGAATACAAACATAAACGACATCTATTTCCGCTCAGTTACCAGGGAAACGATGTAAACTAAATTCAGTTTATTTTCCCATGCCTTTAACCGCCAATTACAATGTTTTTGAAAAGGGATAAATATTTGATTGGTTAATTAAATTAAAGATCATTCATTGATTATACTTTTTAGGTATTTAGGTTAAAAAGCTAAATTTTGGTAAAGCCAGTATTTTTATTGAAATAAATTCAAAGATCCATCTGCTTAAACTGTCTCTTAAAAAATGAGAGAGAAGACATTTTTGTTGATTCTGTGAGTGCTTGATTTTAATATTTTTTAATCATTGTTTGGTGATTATGGAATGGTTTTAGTTCATTGAAAGGCATTTAAGATGATAAATTATCACTGATAATACAATTAATTGAAATTTTCAAGATAACAATGGCAATGGAGGGAGGTAATGTAATGGCGGAAAAATGAAAACAACCTTTACATTTAAAGTCAATAAGTTGCCTCCAACTGTCTACAGTTTTTCAAAATCAATCTAGATTAATGATTAACCAATGATAGAGAAGTGCTTTATTATCATGAATATGAATTGATTACAGCTTTAAGGTGAAATATATTCATTTAAATCGATTGACCCAATTGATTTTAATAAAAATAAACACAAGTAAACATGAAAGATCAGTATAAAAGCCATTCAAAAATTAACACAACAGACTGCAGTTCAATTTCAATTGACCTTTAAGTTTCCCTAATTAAAATACTATAACTGGACAATACCAAAAGAAAGTTGTCAATCAATTGATACAACATATGACTTTTGAATTTATTGATTGTCCTATTTTTTGTATGTAACCAGTTTAAGTCCATTTATTTGTTTGAAATGATCCAAATTGTTTGAGACAAATATAAAGCAGCATCCAAATGTCCAGCCAATATCGATCAATTGATATTTCAAGGACAATTTTAATCATATTACAACAATATTTGGACAATTACACTTCATTTTAGACTAAACAACAGATTAAAGTTAAAACAAGTGTCAACGAGTAAACCAAAGCAACCTGTTAACACAATGACATCAGAAATTAACAGTCACATCACTCATTTTATCATTCAATTCAACTAATAGTTGAATATATATTTCCAGATGGACCAAAGAGCTACAATTTGGTTAGCTAACCATGAACAACAATATGGGAACAATTTACAACCAAATAACCCAAATCAAGAACCATTATCATCGACCTTTTCAGGAATCAAATTCTTAGCCGTTTTCACAACGTCTCATCTCACCATTTCCCTGATGTTTATTGGGTTGATTGTATTATTATTTGGTGTACTGAGTCTAGTTGTTTCCAAATTTTTGTATATTACTTCAGAGCCATTGACTGGTCAAGCTTTCCATATCCTCGGAGTTGCCTGTGTGTGTATATCAGCTGTACTGATTGTCACCGCCATTGGGATTATGGTTATGGCCATTAGATGGGCTCGTCGTAAGATATACTCTTTACCACAACAACAAACAATTCAATTGAAACACCATCACCATCACCATTACCACCCATCATTATCACCCTTAAATCATCCCCAATCAAGTTGCTCAACACTCATGGAGGCAGCTTACCTCAACCCAAGTGCACCGCCTTCAGAGACCATTGGTCATTAGTCTCAATCTAAATATAAATCAAAGTAATTGCCAATCTTTGTATCATAACCATAATAGACTATTTATATACAAATGTAAATTAAATTATTACCATTGAGTTGGTCTAATTTGATTAGACAGAAGCTCAATTTTGTACTGAAATAATCCTAATTATCATAATAAATTGTTCGACTCACAAATGAAATTACTATTTTGACCATGAACTAATCTTGATTTACATATGGTAACCTTAACATTTGATGCTTATTTTATATCAAGGTTATCGATTGACTAAATTCATTACTAACTAATGACATTCACCATGTTTTATCTTATTCATTGAGACTCGAATATAATATGAAAATAATCGATTAATTACTATAAGTCATAACATCTCACAACGAGAAGCTTTTCAAATAAATTTCAGTTCTAACCACCAAAGGTTTCCAATTCACCGAAAAATCGTTCTTACAGTAACTTACCATTCATTGTAATAGAATGGTCAAGAGTCTACTTCACTGAATCATCTCATGAATGATTAACTCTTTTTGTGATTAACTTATAGAAAACCTTTTCACTGTTTATTGATTCTGATTAAAAGCCGATTTTATTGTAAAAATGCAAAAATAATCAACATTATATTCTCACCATAGTAACAGGTATTGATCTGAAAAACGTATTTACTTTAACGAGTCTAATATACTTTACATTCAATTGATTACTAAAATCAATGTTATCTGACAACAGAACAACGTTTAAATTTATTTTTCGTTTCTTCCTATTCTTTAATCACCAAGTCATCTAAATGTTTAAAGTGGACAAATTGTCATTCTAATTAAAAATTATTGAAATTAATGTAATGACTTCCAATGGAGACTGGCTCACAGTCTTCTGGTTTTACCTCTCATTGTTTACCTCATCGGGAAAATTTAACTCGTTTAATTGAATGTGGTGAGATTGTTTCGGGTGATGAGATTAATCCAATCAACCCTTACCTTGTTAAACGTCCAACAATCATAACCAAATTACCTCCAATAGTGAAATCAAGTGAACCATCGACCAATTTAACTTCACTTGATAAAATGGCAACAAGTAAAAGTCCAAACAATCTAATAAATTACAGATCGTTCAATTTGAATCCATCATCAGCGTCTTCATCTGCATCATCTTCACCTTCACTGTTATCCACCTCAGCGACATTTGATGATATTGATCATTGGAAAGGTTATGAGACCAATTGTGATACGGTCAACTCATTTAATAATCCAACATTGAAATTACGTTTACTTGAGAAAAATTTACAATTTATTAAGGATCAACACAAAATGGTTCTCAATTGTCTCCACAATCAAATTGAAGATTTAAATCGCAAAAACAGAGGTAAGTGTCACTCAAAATTGATATGTTGTTCTGGTAATCTTAAAAATCAACATCTCAATTGTATGAACAACCTTGCATGGAGTCTCAGATTACATTTTCACGTTTCACATTTCTAGATTTACAGTTCAAGTTGATTGTTAACAATTTATATCCTGATTGTTTGGAAGGACCATCAAGCAAATTAAGCTCTGTTATGCCAAGTGAATCAGAAAAGAGTTAGTATAAGTTTTCAGGTTCATGAAACGTATGGTGACTAAATTTTATATTTGCTTTATCCAATATTTCCATTCTAGATTCACTACCATTAGAAGCAATTAACCGTTTAAATAATCTTGAAATCGAGGTAGGAAGACTTCGACTGGCCTTAGGTGAAGCACTCAAAATGAATGCTTCTCTTCGTAATCGTCTAATGCTCAAATCAACCAACAAATTATACCAAAAGCAACAGTCAGCGTCACAATTAGTGGAAAGTGAAACACTAAATCTACCAAAATACAAACAAAGTGCATCGTCCAATGTTGAAAGCTTTCGGGAAACATGGAGAGCAATTAACTCGGCTAAAGTGGAATCGTCCAACTCCTTTTTACCAGGAATAAAATAGCTTGAATCATGTAACTATTTAAAAAGATAAAATGAGAAAGAAACATTTAGAAAAATTAAATTATTGTTCAATCTAATGATTGTTTGTCAACTTTGATGACTGCTCAAGTAAACAGCAAAATAAAATGAATTACATTTTCAATTAACTTTGATTTCCTTTGACTTTACGTTTTCGCAACTTTGATTGTTTTATTTCTTTCATTATTTCTCCACTCAGAACTTTGATTGCTGCCATAATTTCCTCACCAACAGGAATAATCTCATTTGCAGGTAACAAGAAACCATATTCCCCTTTATCTCGCAATTCAATACAAAATGAGTATTTGATTTTAGCACATCCTTTAGCCCAATCATCAGCTAATCCAAATGCTGGATCTAAATATTGAAAGATCAAGGTAAATTTATTAATTCAAGACAAAAGGACTTTTTTAATCATACTTACAAAGTAATTGGGCTTTATTTCCTACTGAATAATTAGTTCCATGGATTGAAGCCAAAGCATCGACAGATTTTTTGGCAATCCTTTCCTTGTTTTACAAAACAATTAATGAAACAACGTTAACAATCACACAATTAACAAACTTAATAGAAACATTTTGATCGTCTAATGTCATTATTGTCTTCCTACCATATCAATAAAATCTTTTGGCTTTCGTGAGTCAAATCCATAAGGAATTAGCCAACTTTGATCAAACGAATGAAAATCGAGGAAAGCTTTAATTCTTGATGCATTGGGATGAATTAATTTTGCAATTGACGCCACTTCAGGTTCAGAGAAAGGTTTTCGTCCAGAATAAGTTTCACTGCAAGGATCATTATCCACTCCACCTAAATACCATAAAAATAAACTTAAGCAGAGAGGTCAAATGATACAGAACAAAAAGAACCGACCTTTCCAGAAGTAACCAAAGTTCCTGTTGGGATCGACGCCAATGCAAGGTTCATTATTGATTCTTGATCGGGTTTTTCTCCATAATCTGTTCTGTAATCAGTATTCACCAATAAATTCATAATCCAAACAATTAACTTTGACTTGAACTTACATGAGTATGTGTATATTCATAGCCATCAGGATTTACAACTGGTAAAAACCAATACTCAAAAAAATGAGTCAATTTTGTTATCGAACGATCCTTGGATTTAGTTAAAGTTGTAATCAAATAAATTAGTGTTGCTGGACTGATCCATTCTCTTGCATGAGAACCACCTTGAATGTAAATAATCGGTTTACGCTTGAATCGTTGAATTGAATTTCCAATGCGAACTAACGTTAGATTCCTCTTTTCAAAAGACTGCCCAATGGTTGATCTAACTATCTTATTTGGATATTTAGTCACTAAACCATCTAAATATTTAACCATTACATCGTATCGAGCATAAGATTGGAAAAACGTATCATCAGTTTGGTTGTAATTAGTCCTGATCTCGCCATTAGCGTTTATATTTTGCTTACTGGTATGCCTAGTCAGAATGAGTAAAGCAAAGAATTAGAATAAGCTATTTATTCTTGGCCTGAATTCATTGGGTTATTTACCTTCCCAGATCGTCTATTTCAACCTTAACAGTTAATTTGCGTCCTAGGAGATCACCAATAACTTTTTGAAGACTATCCTGGTTTAATAGTAGCTTGATTGGTTGATTTGGAGTTGATGATGGAAACCAATAATCAATCCTCTGAGAAATGAGATGCAAGAAATAAGATCAGTACTTGATGGTTGTTGCTATTGATGAATTACCTGATCAATAGTTAAATTGTTGATAAAGTCGACATCCGATCTTGTTCTTGCAATCACCGAGATCACTGAATATCCTTTGTAATTGACTGGATTTGAAGTTATAGCCACGATAAACACCATCAATGATAGTAAAGTTAGACTGATGACCACAGTAGACGACATAACGAGGCACATATCATTTTTTGCTGTAAAACCCAAAGTTACATGTGAATCGAATTGAACTGGATGATAGAAATTAAAGGAATAATAATCAAAAATAGTTTGTTATTGACCTTAAATCACTTGAAATTAAATATTGCTTTGTACACACTTTAAACTGCTTGTGCTGATTTACTGTGAAATAATGATTTTCTATTCATATTGAATCATCCCAAGCAAATCATCATTTACCTTCAATTCAACCGCAAAAGTAAATATCTATTTATCTATCTTTTATGAGTTTAATTTTCCTCAGGCCTTCAGAATTATACTCAAGGTTGATTTTGAAAAATTTTGAATTAAAATGAATTAAGTTTATGCCGGCTAAAAGATACAAGAAAGCAGAAAATTTATTTACTCAAATGCAAATCAATAATTTAATTTTGTGGAGTTTAAAAATATCATGTCATAACACATAGACAATGGTTACGTTTTGATTACTTACTTTAATCAATTACCAAGTAAATTATAGCTATTTGGTTCCCGTATTTGCTTTGGATTGCATGGTTAATGCCAAATCTGAAAGAAAAATGTTATTTTATCCTGTTTGTTTGGTTGATGAAGAAACGTTATTATATGGATTTGGATGCAAGTAAAAAAATGGTTTCCCTCAAATGTTGAAGGGAATACTGAAACAAAACCATTTCTTAGATTGAAGTTAATTTGATGCTAAGATTAGGTTAAAAATGACGAGAGGAAGAAAATGAAGATGAGGTCAGGTTAAGAAATGTATAATGAATAGGTTAAGAAGAGATGGAAGAGATGACAATAATTTTTGCTTACTTTTCTGTATGAGTTTCTAGATGAAAACACAGTCCAATGTTGATTATGATGCATTTTATCAACCCTCAACCCATCTTCTTACTCTCTCGCTCTCGCTTCTTGTCTTCCAAATAAACAGAGCAAATCGTTTCTTTAAATTAAAACATAGCAAGACGCATTCCTCATTGTCAAATATCCATCTTATTCAAATTTAATCCACAGTTTAATTTCATAGTTGTTTACGTTAACGCCACAGCTAGTCACAAATAAAAAATAACATTGACTATTAACATTTTGTGATTATTCCTCTGAAGAGTTATTCCTCTTTTATTGGGTAAGATTGTTCACTTTTGTTGAAGATTGTTATTTAGTTGATTTAATATATTGGTAGCACTAAAATATTTAAATATAATTAGCAGTTAAAATTCATAAACCTAGAGAGTTTAGATAATAGTTTTATAAAAGGATATTCAAATATCGGTCAGACGATCGTGTTATTTTCCCGGGTTTAAGCTGTAAAGCTTTAGTGGCTTACAACGCTATTTTTATGCCTTTTGTATTCGTCTTTTTAATTTAATTAGTTTTTTTTCTACAATTGATAGTGTTTTGATTGGAGTGTTGATTTAATTGTCAAAATGGAGGCAATCAAAAAGAAGATGGCTTTTCTCAAAATTGAGAAAGACAACGCCATGGATCGAGCCGATGCAGCTGAAGCTTCTTTACGTGAAGCCGACTCTAAAGTTCAAAAGGTTTACTTTAAATTTCATTTTGTGATCAACTCAATTTATTAGTGTTGGATTCTATCAATATGCTTTATTGTTTTTATTGTGTATGTGTACATATTTGTGGACCTTTGTTGCTCATAATCGCCACGATTTCAGGCTCAAGAGGAAATTCAAGCCCTAGAAAAGAGATTAACTCAAATTCAAGAGGAATTATTGTCAGCCACTGACCATCTTGCTAAGGCCAATGAAGATCTTGACAGTAAGGAAAAGGCTCTTCATGGTGTAAGTTATTTTTTTTAATTTTTATCCTAATTATCCATTAATTCCAAGGTTTCTGCATGTAAATTTGATACTTTGCTTATTTTCACGTGTATTCTTGATAAAATTTCAGTCTTTGAGTGAATACAAGATCTATCATCAATCCATTGAATAACGTTATGTATTAATTTTTGTTACAATTCATACACTTTAAGGCTGAAAATGAATTGGCAACCTTAGCTCGTCGAGTTCAACAGTTGGAGGAAGAATTGGAAAAAACTGAAGAGAAGACGCGAAATGTCCAGGTTAAATTGGAACAAGTTTCTCAAGCTGGAGATGAAAGTGAGCGACTTCGTAAAATGTTTGAACATCGAAATCAAGTTGATGCCGAAAGATTGAAACAATTAGAGGCTCAGTTGAAAGAAGCAAGAAACGCTGTTGAAGAAGCTGATAAGAAATATGACGAAGTGAGTACAATTTTTCCATGGATTTGATATAAAATTTAATGATTGGTTGTTTCTTCATGAACAGTTGGCTCGAAAAGTCGCTGAAGTCGAAGATGAACTTGAAAGAGCCGAAGAAAGAGCTCAAACTGGTGAAATGTAAGCTTCTTGTCTATTGAAATCCAAACTCCTAAGCAGAATGATATTAATAATTTAACTGTTTGATCAACATTTATTAGGAAAATTTTAGAGTTAGAAGAGGAGTTGAAAGTCGTTGGTAACAATGTTAAATCACTGGAAGTCAGTGAGGAAAAGGTGAGTAAAAAATCTAATTCAGTATCCAACAATTAATTGGTTTGTTTAATCATCTATTTTCAGTCCCTTGCTAAACAAGAAGAGTATGAAGCTCAAATTCAAGACTTAACAATGCGACTTCAAGAGGTAAATTTGGTTTCTGTTTATTTCAATAGCATGAAATGAGGATTTTGTAGATTATTTCAACTGGAATAACAATTTCACAGCAAGCTTTTATCACCTCGTTATTTTAATATTTTGCTAATTGTGGTGTTAATTTCTGATGACAGATAAAAAAATAGACACAAATGATTGAACAGATAATTTGAAAATATGCCTTACAATTTATGATGAAAAACCATGATAATTCTGATTAGCATGGCTACAAGTTTCTTCTCGTTGAGCATGAAAAATGAAATATTTTCTGGATCCTACGAAACATTAACCAACTGTATTTAACCGGAGATTAATTACTTTCTCATTTTGTCACATAAGTATCTGTAAATGTGAAATATAGTGAATAATGTAATGATAATGATGTTGAAGATGTTGATGATGTTTGTTGCAAACAAATTTTGGCTTGATTTTGTTTAGTTAACTTTCATTAAGTTTAATTTTAGATAGCAAAATAAGATTGAAGTCTTTTTTAAACATTAATTTTTTCATTATAGAACCTTAAACTCATACTAACTCACAATCTTTTGTTTTTTTCAGGCTGAATCCAGGGCTGAATTTGCAGAAAGGTGTGTCCAAAAATTATTGAAGGAAGTTGACAGACTTGAAGGTATGTTACATTAATTATAATACAATCAGATATTAATCTTTTTCTTTCTCTTCATTTCAGATGAACTTTCACATGAAAAGGAGAAATATAAATCACTTACTGACGAAATGGATCAAACTTTTGCTGAATTAACTGGTTATTAGGCTCTAGTAGAGGTTAACTTGTTAGATCATATTTCCGATTTATGACAAATACTTCCTTAAGTCGTTAGTCTTGTTGAATTTTGATGGCAAACTTCAACAATAATTTCTAACAACATGATCACAAATTATTGGAATTTTGCCAGATAACTCAATAAAAGAGGTTTATTCACTGTTGAATTTCATCATAAAATTCAAGTCATTTTAATCAATTACAACTTTTTAGATTTCCCAAATTTAGATTATTAGATCAACTAAATTGCAATTGTAAATATAAATTTTTCTTCTCTCAATAAAACAACATCTATCAGTGCGTACAATTAATTTGTTGATATTAGACAAAATTTGATATTAGCTATTAATCCTATTAAACAGCTTTTCTTTTCAGTTGATTCATTTAGTGGGCTTTGATCGACCAGAATGGACTCGTATATCATGAGATGGAGGACTCGATCGCTGTTGACGGCTTCTCTCGGTTAGATATCGCATACACTTTCCATAAAATGTAGAGCAAACCAATGGAACATGATAATTAATTGAAAATCCAAACCAAGAACCTAAAATACTTCCAATAACTATGCATAAATCAGACAGCGTCATATATGGCTCAACATAGACCAATAAAACTGGTTCCTTGATCAATTCCAATCCGATTAGGGTTCGATTCTGTCTAGGTCGTCTGTTTAATCTGCTGTAACCAACTATGGGATAATTAAGATTATTGCAGTCTGGTCTCGAATTGCGTTGGACACATTTATCAACTATTTTGTCCAAGGTATACTTAAAAGCAGGATCAAAAATTTTTAAATCGATGTGCCGGTCCAAATTATCTCTAACAATGGCATGGTGAAAGGACGAGTTAAGTACATTCGAGAAACTACGATTAAGACATTCATTGAGAGCTTGTGACTGTTCAATGTAACCATCAACTTTATAATCATAACATTGAGTTTGATATGGAGCGGGTAATTTTTGTTCAAGATACATTGTAAAGGAGATCATATAGATGGATGGACCTCGATAGTTATCAAAGGAAAGCCAAGCCATTCCGTGGTCCCAAGGAAACGTATTTGGTTTGACAAGGGTTACAAAATAAATGGACTCGTTGGTTAAATATTGGGTATTGACGGTGACATAAAAGAAAGGTACATTTTCAGACAGATGATCAACATAGGATACATTTGCCGAAATAGGATGACGATATGAACATGTTATTTTAGCACAATAAGTATTTGAAGTGAAAAATCCGATATTTTGACACAACTTGGCATCGTCTCGTGATGTCTGATTCAAAACAACAATCTCGTCAATCAACTTGTCCTTTGTATACAAAATCGACGTTATTTCGCGGATTGTCAACAATGGAATAAGTTGTGTACCAATTTTAGCGGTAGACGTACGCTTTAACTGGGCAAATTCATCTTCATTTTTGATTCCAAGCTTTTTAACCACTTCTGGATAATTTTTAAACAGTTTGGACGTATTAATCAAACTAACAAAATCAAAACATAACACTAAATCGGGTAAAGGTGTCTTTTCTGGTACAAACCAGTTTATTCGAGTGACAAAATCAAATGATAGATACTTAACTGTGCAGAAATAAATCTGGAATAAGCACCAGAAACCACAAAATAGGAAAACAAAATTTTCAAGTTTAAACAGCTTGTCTTTTGTAAGGTTTAACTTCATTGTTACTTGAATTTATCAAAGGTTAAGGATGCTGATTTATAAGTTATAATTTGAATGAATTAACTTTCGATTCTAATCACTTGTTGCTCTCTTTTGAACTTATTTGTCCGTCGTGAATTACTTCATTACATTGACCGTTTAATTGAATGACTTTATCGACGATATTTAACAGCAATTTTTTCTCTATCAATTATAATTGGCAGCAAATCTGTTGACAATTTCCCTTTATTTTCTTGATTAGGTGTCAATTTGATTGATTATAAAAGTGAAATTGATTTACCTTGAAGTCATTGATCTGATATTTGGAAACTATCAACAAGGTATAAAAGTGTTGCAAATCCGATATTGTTCAGTTAACTTGATTAGTTGGCTAAACTGTTTGTTGGCAAATGAAACATGAATCAACGGAAAATTGGAAGGAAATTACAAATAATGTTAAAATTTATTTTTTTAGTTTGCTTTGTTTACCAACAGCATGTCCAATAAGCAAGAAAGGGTAAAGATGGTGAAATTGATTGTTGGTTGTTAAATATATACATATATTTATATATATTTAATTAGTAGCAAAAATAGGAAAGAAGGTGAAAAAAATCGAAGAAATATGAGAGTTGATCAAAGAAGAGTATAAATCATGTACAAGTTTTTGTTTTGTCAAAGATTGGATCAAGAAGCAAGAAAAAATAGTGTAAGTGAATGGATAAAAAGTCAACAAAAGAAGATAAGAGAAAGAAAAAGTTATTATAAAAGGTAACAATTTGCATTGTTTTGTTTTTTGTTCATTTGGAAGGTAAATTATTTAAACTTGGGACTGAACAAAGTCAAATAATTTACTTTTTGCCGATGACCAGATATAGGAACCTGCACCAGAACGATACATGAATGCGTTGAACAGTCCAAAAAAGATTAGATATTCAATCGTTTTGTTGGTAAAGTAAAGCCTACAAAAAAATAAGAGAAACAAAAAAAGTAAATTAGTATCGAGAAGCAAAGCAAAAAGCAAATTGGCAAACAGGTAATCACAATAAAGAAAGTCTTTCCCACTCATCAGATAAAATTGAAACGATTACTTGAATTAGTGAAACACGCAAATGAAAAAATAATATTTTTTGATAAACATCAAAACTGTTAGTTTCATCAAGTTCATCGAGCTCATGCTTATTATTAATACTGGAAGTTTTAAGATTGCAAAAAATGGTATCAAATTGGATGAGCAGTTTATCGATTGAAATTTTGATTGTAGCCTAAAACACTCAACACACATATACAATAATCAATATTGGCATCTTGATGGTGTGTTGATCAAGATTTTGAATGAATGGGAAAACAGTGCAAAATGGTGTTGATTTTTTTACGCTATTTCAATCATTATGATTCTGCCAATTAGAGGAATAGTTAATTGGACACATCAAACTGAACCTTTTTAAGTTTTTCCTGGCTGCAGGTATTGTTGAGTTTTCCTCTTTCAGAATGTATCGCCTAATACCAAGATAATAGTCTTCAAGGTATTGTGGCCAATGAATTTGTTTAACGTCGAAGCAAAATGTCTATTGAAGAAAAACAAAGTGTCATATTAGTATTTATTTGAATTTTGGAATGTTTTTGGGTAAAATTTTTTAATACCTTTTGATCAACTTCAGATAGTTGCTCTTGAAGATCACGAATATTGGTTGATTTGAACTGCCATTGACGAGTAGCAAAGAAAACTAATTGTTCAGTCGCTTTGTGTAGTTTCTCATAAATACGAACCATCCTGTGAATAAGAGAGGGAAAAATTAACATAAATTCATTGATTTAGTGGATTAGGTAGAATAAAATTAAGATATTTACATTCGATTGCCTCCAGTAAGAGCACTGATTGTATCAAAGATATAAGCAGGCATGTAATGGTCAAGGAGGACAAAAACATTGTGAAGGAATCGATTTGAACGAATTGTGAGTCCAGGATAACGAAAATGTTCTGAACAAGGGTACTTTATGGCCAATGGAAAGGTATACTTTTCAATATCTCCAATTGTGATTGGATTGAGCATTCCAGATGAACAGTTGTAGATAAGAATGCTATTCTGGGGTTTAGTAGCTGTATTCCAGGCCACAGTAATCATCAAGTTGATAACAATATCGACAGGTATAATGTCCAAAACAGCGGACGAGTTAAGATAAAGTGATCTTAAGACACCTTTACTGCTAGCTAAAAAGATGCCAGTTACATTGTGAATGTTGTCAACCCAGCCTGGGTAGGGTTCACGGCGAGATGCGGTAACGATGGAAGGACGGACAATGGCAACTGGAAGTGATCCACACTCTTCCATGATCATAGTTTCAGCCAATGCTTTGGTCAAGGTGTAAGTGTTTGGTCTAGCACCAAGAAGCTTGGGAAGGATATTTTCAATCATTTCATCTGACATCCATTCAATTGCATCAATCAGCTGCTGTGGAGTAATTTTAGGGTCGTAAATGACCTCATCAATCTTTTGTCGATCGCAATTGGCATAAGCAGTTGAGACATGAACCAAGGCCTGCAATTCATGGTAGTCAGGAAGGAACGAAAACAAAAACAAATTAACATTTTCGCAAATTGAAAAATTTTCACTGATAATTGAAAAACTAAGCGCAAAAAAACATATGTGACAATTAGTTCAAGAAAACAAAAGGGAATGTTTAATAATTTAGGTACGATTCTCGCCATTCAAATTGAAACCATATTCAGTCAAAATTGTATTCAATCAATTTAAAATATTCTCAATTTTCGTTTATTAAACTAAATTCTTATCGAAAGACAAAATCATTTGACGTTCATCTGATCGTTGTAAAATGAAATTGAAAGTGTTGAATGATGATGAGCCATAATAATAATGATGTTGATGGAGGTTGGGAAACAGGTTAAAGTAAAGGTCAGTCTGATAATGTTGACTGTAATTTATGATCACTATCAATCATGGGCTGATTGAAAGACTAAATCAATTGTAAACGATGTCAGTTGTTTTAAACGGACGAGGTCACCACAATTTTAACCAATAATCAACTATTTAACCAGCAAATTATTCAAAAATAGCTCAAGGAAAGGTTTCATCCGTAGAGCAAATTACGGAAATAAGGAAACAATTTACAGTCAAGGTGGCTATTTCATTGAGGTCAGTTACCGTAAATCACGGCAAATGATTGCCGTTTATTACTTGGCCAGTCGCTTTACTAGAAAATTATTAGTACAGTTCCGTGTTATTACCCAAAATATAATTACAATTCTGTCAATAAAACATCTCAAAAATTCACTTTTTCCGAGGTTAGCACAAATAACCAAATCAAATGTTTCCAAATAACATTTTGTGGTTCCATTAGCCTTGGTTTCTTTTCATTTCAACCATATTATTATTCAATACAACCAGAATCGTACATGAATGCGTTTAGACTTCAAATGTTACTCCAATTATCATTGTAAAAACACAATTATTAATCATGGCCACTGCAATAGGCTTAGTTTTACCATTGAAAATACATTGTATAAGCTACCATATTTGACTAATGTTAATTTTACGTGTTGTTAACTGATCGAACCATTGATTATTGTCTTTAATTGAATTTGTTTAAAACTATTAGATAACCATAAAACAATTTGATTTGGACGGCAAAATCCAGAAACAGTAAATCTTGAATGTCTTTGCTCAGATGTCAGAAATGTTAACCTTAAAGTTATTTTCAGTTGTAATGAGCAAAATTTTTAAATAGTTGACTATTTTTACGCTAATTTTTATCACTCATTTTCACATTCAAGGTTTAAAGGGTTTCCTAAATCAGTCAACTGAGTCTTCCTGTTTTATCTGGTTGAATTACTTGAATAGATTCTTAAGGGAAATGTTGATAGTTAAAGCAAAAAAAGCAAAAAAATATGCTTCCATATGGAAATGGAATGGCCTCAATGTTCAACAATTTTTCCGGTTCTTCGTGATTGGAAGGTCAGCCGATAGTCAATGGACACCATCGACCTGCTTATTGATCATATTTCATCATTATCATCATCATGACAACATTACTTTTGATAATATTCATTTAAGATCGTACGATTAATGAATGAGGTCGACTACGCAATTTCAGGCTGAAAAACATTACAGGTTATGAGCTGTTTAGTAATGATTAAAATTGAAACTTACCTCTAATTGTGGAATTTGATGAGCTAATTTAATTACTCGCCGAGTGCCAAGCATATTGTAATTGACAGCAACTCTGAAAGAAGAGACAAAATGATTAAGAAAAATGTACAATTTTCTGGTTTAATTTTACATTTAAAATTAACAATAAACATTGACTTACCTCAAAGGTTCTTCAAATTTAATTGTTGCTGCCGAATGAAATATTACGGAAACATTTTTCACAAGTTGATTCAAATCATTTTGTGAGATTCCTAAACCATCAACTGTAATGTCCCCTGAAATGGGAATAATTTTGTTCAGTGATTTTGGATTTTCTTCTCGGATTCGTTCAAAAATCTATGAGATGAAGAGAAACGTAAAAGTTGAAAGTGCCATTAGATTGCTATTAAATTGGAGATCGATTGTAGACTTCAATCAGAATCAGTAATTAAATGTTATTTAACCCTGAAGGTTAACAAGATCACAACAATGTAACAATTAAAGGTGAACATTGAAAAACATTGTAAGCATAAAAATTGAAGAATAAGAAAAAATTGTTTGAAAAAAATGCGATTTTCTTCCAAATCAGGTTCAAGATCATCATTAAACTGTCCATTAGTTGAACGGGTTTAAATTTAAATAATTAAGTTTATCCTAAATAAGCTGAAATGTTGCTTCAATGAATAACAATTAATCAGGTGAAAGTGATGCTTGAAAGTTGAAAGGTTGATTGAAGGACAACATTTTCCTGTTTTGTTTTTCATCTCAAACCCAAAACAAGCAAAAAAGAAACAAAACTCAGGTAAAGGTTTGAAGTAAAGCATAAACAAATGAATAAATGCACTTGATATTAGGTCGCTTATCCCAGTTTTTGTTGAACAATAACAAGTATAACAGCAGATTATCATGATGGTGAGGATGATGATGATGAAATGAAATGTGAGTGAAAATGAATTGAATAGTTGATGGCAGGTTCATTTTACCTTGACTTACGGTCATCAAGGTTTTGCTGTAACAAACTTTAAACTTTCATTTTTATCTTAACCTCTAATATTTTGTTCATTGAACCAGTTTTCAGTTTTCCATTGAAATTGCTTATAACCAAATCATCCAGAAAAAAAAGTAAAAGTAAATGACCTCCGCTCTTCCTCATTACTGTTGACCATCAACAACGTAAACATTATCAATTTGGACTTTCATTTTCTCTCTCAACCTTTTCTGGGTCACTATCAAGCCCGTAAGACTTCCGTTATTTTGACCTTTATCCAAGTTGAGAATCAACTTGACATCAACATTAAAAAGGTACAAGCAATTGGCATATTAACTGATCAATATAAATTGGTATATCAATAGATAAAGTCATTTACACTCACAACATTTGTTTAAACTTGATTTCCCAAAAAATTGGCTTCTTTTTTATCAGAAATTGTTTCTAATATTATGTTATATTTTTTTCCTTCTTCCCTGTCTAACTGACCTTTCAATGGTCAATAAAAAGTAAACGATTGCCAACCAATAAGACAATGATTATAACCTTTTTTCCTCAATTCATCAATTCCCTAATTTACAGTGAAAGTGATAGGTCCAAGTCTTAAAATAAATTTTATGATCATCATTCAAATTGATTAGGAATCTCACCTCGACGTTATTTTTCCTGCAAACAGTTGACTTGCGAAATTAAACCTTTACTTTTCATAGGTAAATTTATCCTCGGACAAGAGGGTTGTTCAAATATAAATGTTTTTCCCTAATTTATTTTACTTGAGCTTGTATAATGACCATTTTGCAATGCATCTGTGAAGCAAATTTTTTTTTGAGTTTCTGGTTGTACGTCATTCCTGGTTATATTTACCTTTACTAATCAGGTTTTGTTTTTTCCATATACTAATGAAATTGTTTAAGGCAAGTTATTGAGCTTCCCTGAGGATAAATTGAATCAATTAGTCAAGAAAATGTTCAGACAAGTTAAGGAAAGCTCAACAGTTTCACAAAATATAAAAAAACGACTTGGACTTGCAGTGGAAAACGTTCTCCGAATTTACGAAATCTTGTAATTACTGGTTTCTTTAAAGGCTCAAATTTAGCTTCTTTGAAAATCACTTCAATGTTATTTTTTTTTATAATATCATGAATGTCTCGTTGTAATCACGACATTAAGTGGTGATAATTGTACTAGATTGACATGAAATTGAATTGGCTGTAAATAAAAGGATTTGCATTATAACTGAATAGAATGGCAAAAAGCTTCTGACATTTCTCGTTTATACAGATTTACTCTGTTATTTGGTAAATTTAATGGCTTCTGTACCTTTGGAATTAAATTTAATAATTATTCAATCGATTTAAGATTAAATTATTGATTAACTTGATTTGAGCTGAGAGGAAAAATTGGGTCCCTTTCCTTCTCGTTTAACCTTGTAACAAACCAGATTTTTGTAGTAAACCAGATTTGTACCGAATTTTGGATCAATGTACCAGTTTTGTGCCATTATATGACCATTAAATATTCCTCTGATTATCATTAGATGCTCTTTGCGTCATGGACAGTATAATATGAGATTTATCAGGTAAACATCTATGGACGTTGATTGTCGCTGAACTTTCATAGATATTAAGCCTTGTAATGGCTTTTGGAATTTTTCCCTCACATTAATAGCTAAATGGCAAAGTTTTGTTATTTAAAAATGTTGATTTGTTTACTAATATTGAAGCTATCATGGAATAATTAATGATTTGGATTAAATTTAGAAGCATTAAAAATATCTTGAGTTTATCATTTGCTGATCACCGTAAACTGTTTTATCCAATTTCATGTGGATTCATAGATTTTTTCATCAGATGTTGTTGATTCTGTTATGCTTTGAATGGTAAGCAATGAAAAAAGTTGCAAAATTGTCTTCAAGGATTCATCAATGGCAACACTTTTGCTAATCATTAATTAAAGTTAACTGTTGAACGAATGAGCAAATTAACACACAACAATTGAATGAGAAAATTGTAATTCAATTGAAAGTGAACAAATTGATTATCAATTTCAGCTATTGATCTGTTGATCAACTAATGTTGTAAAATGGCAATTTTAGGTTGAATTATGTTTTCAGATTTTCCTTAGATATTGTTGTAGATGAGAAACAACAATTATCTATTTCTGTTGCTTTCACCGGATTTCAAAGATACTAATTTAGTCGGCTAATTATTATATAATGTGGTTAATTTTGACCGGTTATTTGGTTGACTTGCAAGGCTATTTGCTATACAAAAAGAATCGGAACCGGTAGCCTTCACTATTGGAGTGAACATGAAAAAAAACATTGAATATTTTGTCCAAACAATCAACCTTCTCTATTGGTAATGTGATTAATCAAACTGACAGTTGACAAAAAATTAACAATCAAAGCTAAATATAAATGAATCGATTACGGCGCAATCTTGATCAAGTCTTGATTTTGCTCAATTTTTAACCAAAAAACAACCAGAAATGAAGCAACAAAAAATACTGTTAACCAGAAATGAAAATAAACCCAAAGAAAAAATAACAACCAGGAAAATAAAAGCTCAACATAAAAATATGAAAGTGTTGTTTTGCTATAAATATGATTTGAAATATACTTTTATTGTTGCTATTAAAATCAATTACTGATAAAATTGATTGAAGCCGCAATTCGTTAATTATATTGACAACAAAAGACTTACTTTATCATTTAGAAGCTGTTCAAGTCGTTGTCGTGGAGCAAGACCTTTCTTGTTTCGAAGTAAAAGGTACATATTTTTGAGTCCTGGACAAGATCGAAGTAATTTCTCGACCAAAACCTGTAAATTGCGATGAAAATCAATTGATTGAAAAGGTGTGAGAAGAAGAAATGATTAAAACAATTGAATGTAAAAGGTTAGACAAAAGTCACGGAAGTAACATGAATGTGAAATTTTCTGATTAAAAGGTTAATGTTGACCATTTTGACCATTATTTTGGCTCAATATCATCATAATCATCTTTAGTGTGACTTTGTTAAACTTGGACTTGAATCAGGTAAATGGTTTACAGCTAATCAGACTTGAAGTTGATTTATGCATTTGCAAGTTCAATCGTTAAGTTTCATGTCAAAGATTCACTTTTAATTTTTCTCCTCAAACATCAATCTTCACTATTTTAATCTCGATTACAAGACAATTACAATAATAATGATTAGTCAATTAGTTAACTTACCTTTCCCATAAATCCAGTTCCTCCAGTGATGAAAACACATCGTCCATTGTAAAACCTTGCAATCTCTGATTCAGAGAAAGTATCCATTTTAATTTGCTCTTGATTAGATGATCAACAGAAATGAAACAGACTCTCAATGATTTTCAAATTAAAACACTTATTTACACAAAATTTGACCAACACTCATTAAATTTAAATTAAACTGTAAAATTATGATTATAAAGATGATCGATGACAAGTTGAGGTATAGTCAACCTCAGCGAAACAGTGGTAAAACAAAAGTGAAAAGCAATGTATCTTGAGTTGTGGACACTGCGACTGTGGTAGCAATTAAGTTAACTGTTGAATCTCTTGTCAGTTTTAATAAACCATCAACAATCTGCAATCAAATGGAGTGAACAAAATTTGATTTAATAATGATCGAGAGAAAGAACAAGAAAATTTTTGTTTGACTGTTTCAAGTGTATGTGTTTAAGCAAAGGAAAGGTAAAAAGGTTTCGCTTGGATTGTAGGACAACAAATGGTTGACTCGGTGAAACGGAATTGTAAGCCTGATTCGTATTTATCTGATCATTGAAACAGACAAGGGGGAGGCGAGAAGCTGATGAAAGTAAGATGAAGATAAAGTGTACAGTTGAACAAAAAGGGGGACAAAAAATGAAGATAAGTGAGAGTTTAATGTAAGTGAAACCGGTAACAGGTATAACAGCGCAAAAACCAGGCGCTGTTTTTATTTTGTGTGTGAAAACGTTGAAACAGTATTTGACCCACCTTTTATTGAACACTTCACTTTCATTATCTTTACTAAGATTCATTAGAATCCATGAGATTTATTCAATGGCTCAATTGCCTTTCAAGGTTGGACAACATTTCAACTTGATTTGGTCAAATTGTTAGATCTAATGGCTAAATAAAAATAATACTCAGCCTCAATCCTTATTTTTGTCTTGATTTTGAGAATGCTTATTTGCTTTATTATTATGGTTAATGTTGAGATTTGAAATTGAATAATCAATGATCAATCTTCATGTTTAGAATAGTTTTAAATGTTTCTCAAATTTTGCCAATTTCGTTAATCTGTAGTTTATGGAATGAAGTTTTATCATGTTCACGAGAACTGCTTCTTATGTCTTGTCTTTTCACACATTTACATATTTAAGATATGTCTTATTTACATAGGTTACAAATCATTATATGAAAGTTTGGGTTTAGGTGATTTTATTTTCAACTAATGAATGACCAACTGTTTAATTGGTATTGCTTATGAGACAAAACTGATGCAGAGGTATCAATATCAAGCTGTCATCTTATTTTTACTTTGAAGTCTTAACCAGTTTAAGTCCATTTATTTGTTTGAAATGATCCAAATTGTTTGAGACAAATATAAAGCAGCATCCAAATGTCCAGCCAATATCGATCAATTGATATTTCAAGGACAATTTTAATCATATTACAACAATATTTGGACAATTACACTTCATTTTAGACTAAACAACAGATTAAAGTTAAAACAAGTGTCAACGAGTAAACCAAAGCAACCTGTTAACACAATGACATCAGAAATTAACAGTCACATCACTCGTTTTATCATTCAATTCAACTAATAGTTGAACTTTTGAATTTCCAGATGGACCAAAGAGCTACAATTTGGTTAGCTAATCATGAACAACAATATGGGAACAATTTACAACCAAATAACCCAAATCAAGAACCATTGTCATCAACCTTTTCAGGAATCAAATTCTTAGCCGTTTTCACAACGTCTCATCTCACCATTTCACTAATGTTTATTGGGTTGATTGTATTATTATTTGGTGTACTGAGTCTAGTTGTCTCCAAATTTTTGTATATTACTTCAGAGCCATTGACTGGTCAAGCTTTACATATCCTCGGAGTTGCCTGTGTGTGTATATCAGCTGTACTAATTGTCACCGCCATTGGGATTATGGTTATGGCCATTAGATGGGCTCGTCGTAAGATATACTCTTTACCACAACAACAAATAAGCAAATTTACTTCAACATGTTTAGTCTTTGATACTTTATATTCACCAAACGAACCCACGAAACATGAATGGTCACAAGAATCATTTATAGAGTTCGATTTATTCAAACCATAAATTAAAAGATTCTAATTGTCCATGAAATAAATCAAAACGAGAAAAGCTGAAAATAAAATCTGGTTCTGCAACTGAAGTCAAACTGCAATCGAAGTTTGAGCAATTTTCAGGTTCCTAAAAGTTCATATTTCTTGACTAGTAACTCAAAAGTCAAAGTCTTTGCATTTATCAATAACCCAACAATAACGTCATCAAACTAAACAAAATAATTTTTCCTCTTGTCTCAATGCTTCAGAATACGCATTCTGTTCCTTCCCTCATCCTATTAGAACATGATTTTCTCAGGAAATAACAACAAAACGACGTTTAAAGAATTTATTTTCGTTTCTTCCTTTTCTTTAATCACTGAGTTATCTAAATGTTTTAAGTGGACAATTTGTCATTCTAATGAAATTAATGTAATGAATAGAGACTGGCTCACGGTCTTCTGGCTTATCTCATCGGCAAATTAACTCTTAAATTTGAAATTATTAATAATTAATATTCACCAATGTATTTTGTCAATTAAGCCTTTGAAGATTAACTTGAATGGTAAAATTGTGCTTAAGACTCATAAATATTCACTTTTTTACTTGTCTTCATCTCAATGGCCGATTGTTTGATTACATTGAGTTAATGGTCAACACCTTTAGACGGTCAAATTGAGCTGGAATATGTCCAATTATCAAATTCAAAGAATGAAATCAAAACTTGAAACCAAATTATCATTTATTTTCAAAAAATAACCAACAATAACAATTTATTGCAATTAATTTTCAAATAGAAATATTAAAGATTACAGAGCCAGCTGGGGTGAATATGATCAACTAAAAATGGCTAAATTTAAAGCTTTTGTTTTAAGGTAAACTCATCGATCTTATTCCATTTTTTTGATTTTTACTAATATTACAAGCTAAATCTGCCATCTAATCACTGATCATTGTGATTGATTTCAACATGAAGACGAGTTGTTATGTTAGAGCCCTTCAACTACATGAAATCTCTGTTGGTTAAGATGTTGATTAAACTTTAAGTACATTGTACCTGTTTCAATAAGCTGTGCTGTCACAGGTTTAGATGCAACAATTAATGATAATAAGACTGATATTCAAGGGTTCAATGTCAATTAACGATGTTAATGTTCAAATACTTGTTTGCTTAATCAAAATCTAAATAAGATTCAAACGACGTTTGACCTCAAAGAGTGCGTAAAGAGGTAATTTTAATCATTTCCAAAATCAAATCTCTCAATCAAATGGAAAGGTTAATAAGATTGTTTTCGTTTCTTTCATTAAACCAAAAAAACAGTTGAAAGGTGATGTTAATATACATAAAAGATGTTGTTGATGGCTTTGTTATTGATATAAATTCAGGAAATGAATGTGTTACATGAGCTTGATTCAACTTTAATCATTTAAAATTGTGAGCCTCAATTGACTTACCCGGAGGCTTGATAACCTTTACCTTACAACCAAATTATCAAGGCAAATCAAATGGTTGCAATAATTTCACTTATAACATGTTGACCATTGATTGATAAAAATGCAATCTTTTTTGGTCCATTTTTAAGACAATTAGCAAATAGAAACATTATTTAAATAATTAGCTGACCATTGAAAATACAAATACAAAAACAAAAACATTGAACTTCAATGATTCTCGACAGTTTCAATAGGAACAGGAAATTTCATTACAATCTCTTTTTTTGGACTAATTGTTGTGTTCCTTGACAATTGACAAAAACAAAGGTTGACTTAATCAAGGATGCTTTATTGTTTATATGTTAATCTGATGGTGATAATTAACCGTACAATTGGTGATTACCTTTTTTGCTTGGCCTTAAAGACAGCAGCAAATCTATTAATACAGTAGTGTCGGTAATAGATTTAGTTTAGACACGAAAGCAAAATTAAAACAAACAATCAAGACATAGATCAAGAGTTTCATTGAACTAAGCTGTTTCCAGATTAGATTCAAATGATCGTCATAGCTATTGATTGATCAAAGTGGATCAACATTGAACAAAATTGACAAAATTCATAGCTATTACTGTTTAAGTAAGACTGTTGACTATTGGCTGCGTTTATTTTACCAAATTAAGTCTATCATTGATTATTGGTCAGCATGAATCTGTTTTGATTGATGAATATGGTTCTTCTAGTTCTTTGTACTTTTGACAGTCTTTTGTGCCATGAAAAACGCCTTATTTCAACATATCCACTGAAATTCCGCACCACATCAAAGCTACTTAAAAATACTGTTTAGTATAACAGAAAAATTCAGTGATGAAGCATTCAGAGGGTCTGATATAAAATCAGCTTTCCTAATGAACGTAATTTCTTACTTTAGTTAAGCTCAGACCTGAATGGGCGACATGAAGCGTCATGCTTAAAAAGCCCTTTTAGACTAATTTTGGTAGTTTTTAATGAAATTGCTCGAGTCCATGAAAACTTTTCCTCTTAATTGATTTAACATCTACTAACAACATGTATAACAAATGATATTGAACAATACTAATGACACACCTATCATTGAACTGGGTTTCTGGTATTACTTTCGTTGTAATTAGTTAAAATAAGAGTTTAATTTACAATTGACAAAATGAACACGCCTGGTAGTAATCATATCAATCGGTTGATTTGAATACTGTTAGATATCAATTTTTGTTGCTATAAGTGTTGAATTGAACATCAAAAAATTGTTTAAACCATTTCACAATATTTGGTTTTGTAAAACATGTTGACTTCAATGAATGCTCATTGAGAAGGGAAAACGGAAATCTGATTGTATTATTATCTATAAATTTTGACCCTTATGATATCTTTTAACATTGAGGTCAAGTTGAAGTTGGTTTAGTGCTAAATCAATGGTAATATGTTGTTCAAGATCGGAAATTACGTTAAGGAAGTTAAAAAATGAAACATTTTATAAAACTAAAGTGTCTAAAAAGAGTCTGATTTGATCAATTTCATTGAAACAGAATGAGCTCTAATTCAAGGATTCAGTTGCTTCAGGTTTCTACTATTGACAAAATTTGCAATCAACTACAATAAAATTCAAGTTGAGACTTAATTCCAAACAATTAATCTGGAGGATTTTTTAGTAAAAATACAATTCCATTTTACTAACAATAATTAAAGCTAGATAGCTGAATAATCGTTTCAATGATTGACCAGATTAATTTATTCCGTCCAATCAATTTTTTGCATGATTTAAGGATGAGGTTGAACACAAATTGCTTATTAAGCTGCATTTAAAAGTGTAAATGAGTACTAGGAACTCAGCCACTTGTTATAGTGTAAATATTGGTAATTTATAGCATTTTCATAATGACAAGTGTTTTGTTGGAGGAAGATAGCAGGTATCGCAATTAATTATCTGATCTGTCTAAGTACCAGGTATTAGTAAGTAAATAAAGATCCATCTGCATGGACATATGCTAGTCATATTGTCATCAAAGCAAGCCATGGCTTTAAAAAGATCATCTCAATCTTTGATTGATATTTTTACAAAAATTAAAAATTCAAGTAAAAATATTGCTCTAACATTTTCTAGAGATTTAAGGTGAGTATATTAAGGTATAATTTTAAGCTAAAAAGATTTTCCATATTTGATAACTCAGTAGATTTGTTCAGATTTACAAGACATTTTTAAGGTGATTTCCTTTGTTTAATAACCTGTTGATTTTCTCTCTGTAACAGAGGCATCCAAATCCTCGTTTCTTTGCAAACAAATGCCTGGAAAATGAAGACGTTAAATGCTACTGTTGTTACCCGATTTAATCATGTGGTCAGTGCTAATAAAAATAAACCAGCTATAATCTGTCAAGACAAAGTATGGACTTTTCAAGACCTTGATTCATTTTCAAATAAAATTGCTCAAACCTTTGTATCATCTGGTTACAAACCTGGAGATGAAGTTGCACTATTAATGGACAATAAGCCTGAATTTGTTGGTATATGGCTAGGTGCAGCAAAAGCAGGCTTGATAACAGCTTTGCTCAACACAAATCTTAAATCATCGACGCTTTTACATTCTCTTAGTGTCATTCAAACTCGTGCTTTAATATATGATTCCGTTTTTGAACCAGGTAAGTTTTTATCCCTTCAAGATGCTATTTACTTTATTTTATTTGTGGATACTAATATCTAGTACCTAATATCTGTGTGTTTCTTTATTTTACTTTAGTGGTTCAAGATTTACAGAAGATACTTCCATCAGATAAAACAATTCAATTTTACCGCTATGATGAAAATGGAAAAAAGGTTGATGAGAAAAATACAAAAGCCAAATCACTTATACCGTTGATTGAAGCATCAGCTGATCGTCCCGTTAATTTTAGAGGAAATTTTACAGGTATGTTTTCCTTGTTTGTGATTAAACTTTCACTAACCTTACTTGATTTATTTATTTTTCACTAATTGTACTTTCAGATAAATTACTTTATATTTACACATCGGGAACAACAGGGCTTCCCAAGGCTGCTATTATAACTAATGCAAGGTTCTTTATCTTTGGCCATGGCATTAAAACATTCACTCGATTAACGTCAAAGGATATTGTCTACACTCCATTGCCTCTCTATCATTCCGCCGGTGGAATTTTAGGTGCTAGTAATTGTCTACTTTATAGTACAACAATTGTTATAAGGAACAAGTTTTCAGCCAAGCACTTTTGGGAAGATTGCTATAAATACAAATGCACCGTAAGTGTTGTCTAATCAACTTCTCATTTTTATGACGAAGACTAATAAATTTGTTTTATTGTCTTTTCACTTATCTAGATGGCACAATACATTGGTGAAACTGTTCGATATCTTCTCGCTACACCTCAAAATGAATATGACCGTAAACACAGTGTTCGATGTGTATATGGTAATGGGTTCAGACCATCTCTGTGGAGAGAATTTAAGGAGCGATTCGGTGTCGGTACTATAGTTGAACTATATGGAGCTACTGAGGGAAGCGCCAGGACTGTAAATATAGATAATTATGAAGGATCGTGTGGTTTCATACCGAAATTGATGCCTACTTGGTTACTAAAAAGAGCTTATCAAACTATGCTGATTCGTATTCACCAAGAAACGGGCGAACCAATTAGAAATGAGAAAGGTTTTTGTGAAATTTGTGAACCTGGGGAAGTTGGACAAATAATTGGAATGATTAGCAACAAGAATGTCCTCAAAGGTTTCGAGGGATATGCTGATAAAGAAGCAACACGAAGTAAGATCTTAAAAGACGTTTTTCGAAAGGGCGATTCATATTATGCATCCGGCGATTTATTAGTTCGAGATGAACTAGGATACCTTTATTTTGTTGATAGAACTGGTGATACTTATAGATGGAAAGGTGAAAATGTTTCCACAGGTGAAGTTGAAGCAGTTATTGGATCTATCACAAACCATGCAGATACAGTTGTTTATGGTGTCCTTGTACCAGGTAACGAGGGTAGAGCTGGAATGGTTGCTATAAGAGATACAACTGGATCTCTTGACTTAAAAGATTTACTAATTAAAATGAAGAAAGAGCTACCACAATATGCTATTCCAATTTTTATACGATTAACTGCTGATATCGAGGTAACTTCAACATTTAAAATGCCAAAATTTACACTTAAAAAAGAGAGTTATGACATAAATTTGGTGAACGATCCAATTTATGTGTTGGATTGGAAAAACGAAGAGTACAAAAAATTAGACAAAGAAACTTATGATAAGATAATCAATGGTGAATATAAGTTTTGAATCACTGACTTTCTGTAAAATGAATTATACACATAAAATCGATACTCAAAATCTAAAGACTTACTGCAAATTCATGCTTGCATTTTTTTCAATATTGATTGCTTTATCTTTTTGTAACTATCAATACTTTAATTCATTTATACCATGAGTTCTTTAGTAACTAAATATTTATCGTTTCATATCCGCTCCATTAATATATTATCGAAAAACAATCTCTTATCTTATCAACAATTATCAACATTTCTTAACATATAAATTCATGATGTTTTGTAAAAGACAAGATCAATAGATTTTCTTCTGATTTATATTAATATTTAAAAGCAAGCCTAACAAAAGCATTCAGTACAACTTTGGTTTTAAAAGTTAATGCTGCGATGTCGAGCAATTCTTTAGTGAGTATTTTCAAAAGGATTCAACATTATGGTAAAGTCTTTTACCTTTCAATTGGCCGAGATATCAAGTAAGTGTCGCTTTAAATTTGATTTAAAATTTCAAAATTTCTTCAGATGCTTTAATATATACCTTAATGACTTTTTTCAAACAATATAAGGGGCTCACGATTATTGGTTTCGATGCAAGCGTATGCTTGGAAAATGAAAAGATCAAATGCTACAGTTGTTACCCAATTTAATCATGTGGTCAGTGCTAATAAAAACAAGCCAGCTATAATCTGTCAAGATAAAGTATGGACTTTTCAAGATCTTGATTCATTTTCAAATAAAATTGCTCAAACCTTTGTGTCATCTGGTTACAAACCTGGAGATGAAGTTGCACTATTAATGGACAATAAGCCTGAATTTGTTGGTATATGGCTAGGTGCAGCAAAAGCAGGCTTGATAACAGCTTTACTCAATACAAATCTTAAATCATCGACACTTTTACATTCAATTAGTGTTATTAAAACTCGTGCTTTAATATATGACTCCATTTTTGAATCAGGTAAATTTTTATCCCTCAAAGATGTGCAACCTACTTTATTTAAACTGTGGATATTTGTACCTAATATCTGTGTGTTTCTTTATTTCTTTATTTAACTTTAGTGGTTCAAGATTTACAGAAGATACTTCCATCAGATAAAACAATTCAATTTTACCGCTATGATGAAAATGGAAAAAAGGTTGATGAGAAAAACACAAAAGCCAAATCACTTATCCCGTTGATTGAAGCATCAGCTGATCGTCCCGTTAATTACATTGGACAAGTGAAAAGTACTTGATACATTTATCTTCAAATGAATTATTTCGCTGGATGATAATGAAATGTTTTTTATCCTCTAGATCGTCTGTTATACATTTATACATCGGGCACAACTGGATTTCCAAAGGCTGCTATCATAACTCATGGACAATTTTGTCTGTTTGGACACACTATTCAAAAACTCACCTCGATGACTTCAAAAGATGTACTTTATATCCCGTTGCCTCTCTATCACTTTGCTGGTGGTGTTTTAGGGATCAGTAATTGTCTTATTTATGGTACAACGACTGCTTTAAGGAACAAATTTTCAGTCAAACATTTCTGGGACGATTGTAAGAAGTACAACTGTACTGTAAGTGGTTTTTCACCAATTGAATAAGACAAACATAAATCTTAATTTGTATTTCTTTTTGGATCACAGGTTGCTCAATATATTGGTGAGACTGTTCGTTATCTGCTTGCTCAACCACCAAGTGCCAAAGATCGCGATCACAATGTTCGTTGTGTTTATGGTAATGGTTTTAGACCTACATTCTGGGTGGAATTCAAGGAAAGATTTGGTATCCCGAATGTAATTGAAATCTATGGTTCTACTGAAGGTGTTGCTAGAAGTGCAAATGTTAATAGCCATAATGGAGCTTGTGGTTTCATACCTTCTTGGATTCCTACATGGTTATTGACTAAATTTTTCCCGATTATGTTGATTCATATAGATCAAGAAACAGGAGAACCTATTCGTAATGAAAAAGGCTTGTGTGTTGCTTGTGAACCTGGTGAAGTTGGACAAGTAGTTGCAAAGGTTGATAAACGTGATTTGACCAAAACATTTGCAGGGTATACTGATAAAGAAGCAACACGAAGTAAGATCTTAAAAGACGTTTTTCGAAAGGGCGATTCATATTATGCATCGGGTGATTTATTGGTTCGAGATGAACTAGGATATCTTTATTTTGTTGATAGAACTGGCGATACTTTTAGATGGAAAGGTGAAAATGTTTCCACAGGTGAAGTTGAAGCAGTTATTGGATCCATCACAAATCATGCAGATACAGTTGTCTATGGTGTCCTTGTACCAGGTAACGAGGGTAGAGCTGGAATGGTTGCTATAAGAGATACAACTGGATCTCTTGACTTAAAAGATTTACTAATTAAAATGAAGAAAGAGTTACCACAATATGCTATTCCAATTTTTATACGATTAACTGCTGATATCGAGGTAACTTCAACATTTAAAATGCCAAAATTTACACTTAAAAAAGAGAGTTATGACATAAATTTGGTGAACGATCCAATTTTCGTGTTGGATTGGAAAAACGAAGAGTACAAAAAACTAGACAAAGAAACTTATAATAAGATAATCAATGGTGAATATAAGTTTTGAATCGCTGACTTTCTGTAAAATGAATTATAGACATCAAATCGATACTCAAAATCTAAAGAATCACTGCGAAATTCATGATGGCATCTTTTCAATATTGATTGCTTAATCTTTTTGTAACTATCAATACTTTATTTCATTTACACCATGAGCTATTTCGTAACTCAATACTTATCGTTTTAAATCCCTTCCATTTATATATTATCGAAAAACGATCGTTTATGTTATCAATAAATATATAAATTCATGATGTTCTGTAAAAAACAAGATCAAGAGATTTCTTTCTGATTTATCTGGGTATTAAAGTAAACCAAACAAAAGCATTCAGTACAAGTTTGATTTAATGAGTTAATACTGCCATGTCGAGTAATTCACCTCGTTCTTTAGTGAATATTTTCAAAAGGATTCAACATTATGGCAAAGTTTTTTACCTCTCGATTGGCCGAGATATCAAGTAAGTGTTGATTTCAATTTGACATTTTCTTCGAATCCTCTAAAGTTAATTATTTTTTTCAAACAATGTAAGGGGCTCACGATTATTGGTTTCGATGCAAGCGTATGCTTGGAAAATGAAGAGATCAAATGCTACAGTTGTTACCCAATTTAATCATGTGGTCAGTGCTAATAAAAACAAGCCAGCTATAATCTGTCAAGACAAAGTATGGACTTTTCAAGATCTTGATTCATTTTCAAATAAAATTGCTCAAACCTTTGTGTCATCTGGTTACAAACCTGGAGATGAAGTTGCACTATTAATGGACAATAAGCCTGAATTTGTTGGTATATGGCTAGGTGCGGCAAAAGCAGGCTTAATAACAGCTTTACTCAACACAAATCTTAAATCATCGACACTTTTACATTCAATTAGTGTTATTAAAACCCGTGCTTTAATATATGACTCCATTTTTGAATCAGGTAAGTTTTAGATATTTACAAAATGTGCTGCTTACTTTATTTTATTTGTGGATATTATTTGTACCTAATATCTGTGCGTGTTTCTTTATTTTGTTTATAGTTGTACAAGATTTATTGAAAATACTTCCATCTGATAAATCCATTCAATTTTATTGTTTCAATGAAAATGCAAAGAAAGTCGAAGAGAAAAATACAAAAGCCAAATCACTTATCCCGTTGATTGAAGCATCAGCTGATCGTCCCGTTAATTACAACGGACAAGTGAAAAGTATAATACATTATCTTTATTATTT